GCCATCTACAGGAGCAATGAGAAACTAATCGAATCGAAGCCATCTAGTGGCCGACGCCCGTAAACATTTTTGTTGAGTGCTTGAGTTGCTTATCTATAACTAATTTATGTGTATTATCTATGCCGACGAGTATGTACTAAAATCCCAACCATTTCTGAATCTGAGGAAGTCGTGCGTTCGGTATTGATATGTACGTGGAATAGGTGTTACAAAATACAATTGAGATTTCGCCCTCATGTGTCAACATCTGCTGATCGTCAAGTAACATATACCCGCGAGCCCTTTAGGCTGGGATATCTCGTAGGAGGCTTGGCCCCCTACCCGCATATTTTTAACCGCCTACCCACATTAAATTTATTAATTTATTCACGTTATATATATAACGTTTATGACTCCGGTGCCCAACTGGGTATAATAATAACACAAATGGGTTCTGAGGTCGTTCACCTATCTACGTAAAAAACAGTATTAAGACAGCGCTATACTCACTTCTTATGTACCATATACAGAGGTTCCAGTGAGCCATTACCATATCGACAGGTGAAAGGCTATTTTATTTAAGCGACATTTTTACAGAGAGCCAATTAAAGCTTAAAATTTGGAAAAAATATCATGAAAAAAAACCTCGTTCAGATATTTGAATGGAGTAAATTAATTGAAGTTCAGTTAAAAACATCGAACTATCGATCCTAATGCCAAATAAAACGGTCCTTTTTATTACAAAGGTAAATGTCGTGCATCAAGCGAAATATTGCTTAAGCGAAATAGCATTTCACCCTTCGATATAAGTGAAATCACAAGAGATATTGTACATTTTTTAACACAACAATTTTCAAGAAAATTGTATCTAATTAGTGAATTGATTTGTTATGTAAAACTGAGGATTGATGGTTAACTTTACTACAATGTTAGCAGGAAGTAGGTAAGCACGACACGAAACACGCAATCTTCCCATTGTGTTACGCCCATTTTCCTTATCATCAGACTACCATGTGGAAAGCTGCCAGTATACTCGAAGCATAATTAGATAATTGATAACTAATCATAGACATATTAAAAGTTATTGTTAATTATTGACGCAATGCGAGGTTTTTCTTTTGCTTAGACGAACTTACAGATCATCTGATGCTAAAGGCTATAGTATAGAACTGTCGAATATATTGTCGACATTACCTACAGCACAACGCGATGGCCATGTCCAGCTTTAGTCACAAGGGTGAAGCCACCGTGCATTCATGAAAGTGTGACAATTGAGAATACATATTATTATATATTTAAGAAAGTTAAAAGCAAATATTTGTGTTGCCAAGAAAAACAAAATGGCGCCTCGAACTGATTTTGACCTTTCCGATTTTTATGTTTGTCTACAAAAAAAAGCGAATGACATGAAATCAGGGCTAGTTTATGAGTATAGAGCATTCATTGACTAATTCATTGCTTCATGCATGCAACATTAATTACTAATAAGGTTAAAAATATTTTGTATTTTGGATTTGCATTTGTTATTTTTTTTCTAATATTTATTTTTTCGAAAGACGAAAGAATTTTGTCTTTATTAAGTTTTATTTAAATTATGTTTCGTGAAAGGAACACAGTTTTCGTCATAATATAATTTTTTGATTCATATAGTGATGAGTTTTAAAAGACATAGCAACGGGAAATATAGATCAGACAAGCAACGGGTTGGTTTATTTCGGAGTCAACAGTAGGCTGTTTGATTAACATGTCTATGTTTTATCATTTGTTAAATACGAATTTTGAGTTTACAGAAAAACGCGCACGCACATGCTTCCACGAGAAGTTCACGTATCTATACATGTATTATTGTCTCATAACAAAATATTATTGTTGTTCCACATCACTTACTGAGAGAACGTGAACGTGGGAAATGGAAACGGAAGCCTTATATTCCGGTTCACGTTAGGGGCGTGCTTGATTTCACAAAGCTAAATTTCGTATTTGGAACAGAACAATGCGATTACGTTTCGTATGATTATAATATTTTGCGAATTACCTACATATTGTAAAACTATAATTACATTACATTGGTAAGTTGTGGGTAGTATTGATAATATATATATCTTTTTTATTGCCCCTGTAGGCAGACGAGCATACGGCCACCTGATGGTGAGTGGTTACCGTCGCCCAAGGACTTCAGCAATGCCAGGGGCAGAGCCAAGCCACTGCCTACCGGTTAATACTCTCCACAAGCCTCTATCTATAAGATCTGGATTTGCGAATTTTGCTACTGAGTTATTTATTAACTTATTGGTAATTACCACGGCTTTGCTCTAGCCCTGGTATTGCTGAGGACGTTAGGTTTGCCGTATGTACCTCTGTCTAGGCAGACTGACAAGGGCAATAAAAAGAACTTCGTTGTGATCCAGCCCGTCGATCAGAAGATGGTTTTCTCAAGAACGGGCAGAGATATAAAATTTAAATCGGAAGAAACCACTATAAAATCTACGGCAGAAGGAACTCATAAAATTTCCAAGCTTCTCGGTCAAGTCAATCAGAAGATATAGCCGTATTTTGTCACCCATATATAATCGATAGGGCCCTTCCCGTTGACCTAGAGTCATACAATTTTGCGAAGGGTTAGGTCTTATAGCAAGAGAAAGGTCTAACAATACCTTTAAAAACGGTAGGTACATTCCTGCCTTGGACACAAAAAAAATCGTGTGATTTTTTCTAGGCTATTCCAGCTTCTGGCGCACAGGTAGGTGAGCTCACAGGCTCAAGCTGAGAGAATTTGACACTAGCCCTAGAAAGAACAGTGCTTCGCAGAATCTACTGAGAAAAACGGCGATAAACTCAGTGGGTTGGGTCTATGGGAAGAGACATGTCATTTACAAACTAACGCTTATGGATCGAGAGACATTCACTACGTACAAAATGTTTATTTTTTTATTTTTTATTGCTCAGATGGGTGGACGAGCTCACAGCCCACCTGGCGTTAAGTGGTTACTGAAGCCCATAGACATCTACAGCGTAAATGCGCCACTCACCTTGAGATATAAGTTCTAAGGAGTCAGTATAGTTACAATGGCTACCCCGCCCTTCAAACCGAAATGCATGACTGCTTCACGGCAGAAATAGGTAGGTTGGTGGTACCTACCCGCGCGGACTCACAAGAGGTCCTACCACCAGTAAAATTTCAGGAAGAATACTATAATCAACGGTAAGGTCGAACATAGAAATGTATTTATTGGCCTCAAAACATTCGCTATTTATAACCCCGTTTTCCGTGCTGGTATTTTCCGAGTACAATATAGGTATTTCAAAAATTGATTATTATTTCGATATTTTTTTCTACACAAGCTTGGTGGTGGTCCCGCGCAGCCATACACAATGATGTACAAGGATTCATTCATTTGAATCATTCGTGGTCCGACTCGAACAAACTCGATGTTGAGATAGTGAAAACTAAAATATGCATTCGTTGCGATTCAAAGTTTGTCTAAACATACCTACCGATCCGGTATTAAAATACTCCATAGCAACAATAGATTGATTGTTACATATGTAAATTTATAAAAAAAAACCGGTGCTCTTAATTTTTATAACATATCGCAGTTCCTTCATCGATGAAGTAGTTCGTGAATACATTTCAAAAAATTCGTGCGTTACCTACTCGCTCTTATCCGGTTTGATTTTTATCATCATTTTTAATTTAATAAAATAACACTTTGAAAAGGTAACGCGCAGCTTATTGTTCAATCTCGAAAATACAAATTTGACAAATGATTGAAATTAAAACTGCGCCATTAAATTATGCTAAATACGTTTTTTTTATTAGCTTTACAGAAAAACGAGCGATCCAAACAAAACCAGACAAGTGTTTGAATTATTTTAAATGTCACTTTTTCCCAACCGTATTCACTTCTCGATTAATCTGTCTGTAAGGTATTTTAGTACAACATTCTACTAATATGCAAATAAGTCCATAAATAAACGAACGAATCTCGTAACTAACCGGTCCCGCTTCGAATCCGGTTTAATTTAACTTTTTAACATTACATCAAATGGACGATGTCGCCGGCAGACACCATTTTCTTTTCACACCTCATTTAAAAGGAAACAGCATATTTTTACCGAAGTTTTTCGTGTGTAGCTAACGTGAATATTTTACATACTAAACTTTTATATTAAAGTATTATCTGTCTTCCAAGGTAGGTCATTGGTATTAAATTAATAGTCTGTAAAATAAAAACGTTTTTTTTTTTCATTTAGATAGAGAAGCAAAGGTAAAATTAACATATATTTTAGTTTTAAAATATGGGCAGATTAAATTAAAATTGCCCCGGTAATTTGTATGAAGTTACTATTTTTTTAGGTATGCACCTGTATGTATGTCACATAGTACAAAAAACAATTTTATTTATACTCGCTATTAGATAACGAATGTTAATTTATTTCGTCGTCGACCAAAATTTTAAAATTGGGTATGATATCACTACTTATTTAATAGTGAGTGATATGTGTATGAAATATTTAACTTATAAATCTGCAATCTGCAGGTAGGAGGACTTTTTCGCACAGCACGAACAAAAAAATTGACATTTAGGTACATTCTGGATAAATACTACGTACCTATGTAGGTATATGAAGCGAAATTAAGCAATTAATATTCTATAGTTTCATTTACTTACAAGACGACTACATAATTCAGTGCATTAATAAGTTTATTTATACATGTTTTGATAGCTTCGCACAACGTTTTTTTTTTTTAAATCCTAAAGTTAGGCCATTGGTATATAAATCAGACCTTGAGATACATTATTTTGAAACATTGTTTTCGTGAGCCCGATACAACATTCGTAATATATGCGATACTTATTAGTGCTAACTAATGTACTAAAGCAGTATCCATACTGAAAGTATTTTTTTATTTAGTGTAAAGAGGTTAGCTACAATAATTATCAAGTTTATTCGTTGGTCCGAAAACATAATAATATGTATGATTATCATATTCAGATATTTGAATAAACACAACTTACCTTTGGCGAGCGAATGGAGAACAAGCAAAACTAAAAAATAAAATCCTCGGACCATGTTTTTGATAACAGAAAATTCTCACGCACTAAATAAAACTTACAACACAAACTGTGTCCATTGTAAAAAAAAGTTAACACCACAATATGCACATGGCAATTTTCACGAATCACTTCAACGATTTTTTTTCTACTGACGTTAAGAATAATATGTAAAAAAGAGAATTGCTTCAAATAATCGTTATAAATATACGTTCGTATTTCGAATTGATGACATTTTGGCGCGAACTAACGAAGCGGGCGTACGCCTCGACGCGGGAAAATCGACTTGTGTGAGAAGTGAGACTACTAATGAGATCAACGCGATGCGGCGAATGTGTTCGCCCGCCCGTCGCAGACCGCCTCACCACACCGACCGCTACGGCGCTGCCAGGTCGGCCACAGGGTAACATGCTTTATTCGATTACGAACGTATTTTCATTTCAAAGCAAAATTACAATACGTTCACAGGCGTAAACTCTCTTAACATTATTTTACAATTTAGGTTGGAAATTTTTTAAGACTTAACCGAATTCTGAAAATCAAGTATCTAATTTTGTTCAAGCTCTCTTATGATAAGTATACAAGTTACATAATATATGAGTATATGTATATATATACACATCTAGTATGGTGTGTGTAGTATGGTAGTCATGAGTACATGAGAATACACTAGTCTAAAAACTCCAAACATATTTTGTTTTATCAAGGTTAACAAAAAAAAGCTACTGAGTTACTAGCTAACTTAATAGATATTTAATTATGATTTCATTTATATTTTCATCTTGGCTTTTTTCCCCCACCCGATGATATCGTTGTCATTAGGCACTGTAACTGCACTACATAATATAGTTCAGTGGTCCGCGGAGGAGTGAGATTTTCTAACAGCTGCGGTAGGCGCTCAGACAGTTCAACCTCCAGCACCGGTCACCGTCCTCGCCGAAACCGTCGCTTGCGACGAAGGGCTCGACGAGTAAATTAACCCATAGACACGGCCCACGGAGTTTCTCGCCGGATCTTCTCAGTGGGTCGCGTTTCTGATCCGGTGGTAGATTCTGCGAACCACTGCTCTTACTAGGGCCAGTGTTAGTAACATTCCGGAGCCCCGTGAGCTCACCTACATTTCAAGGAGAAACTGAAATAGCCTCCCAAGGCTATCAGCATTGGTAGGAAAAAAAAGACAGTTCATACTTAATTCCACCACTCCTAGCCGAGCTCGTGCTCGCCCAACCGTTCTGGTGAATCTGAAAAAGCCTCCAGGCTATCAGTAGGTAATCTCTCCAAACAGAAACAAAAGGCTTTATGCTGTATGTATATACATATGATGCTGGACATAAGCTTTTCCCATAAGTTTACTGTGTTTGACTCGATTATTTAATACATTCAATTAATTTACTTCTTGGCTAAGTGCAAGATCCGCACGCAAAGCACATTGCAGCACTTTTTTTAGATTTTTTTTATTGGTTAGATGGGTGGACGAGCTCACAGCCCACCTGGTGTTAAGTGGTTACTGGAGCCCATAGACATCTACAACATAAATACGGCACCCACCTTGAGATATAAGTTCTAAGGTCTCAGTATAGTTACAACGGCTGCTCCACCCTTCAAAGTGAAACGCATTACTGATTCATGGCAGAAATAGGCGGGGTAGTGGTACCTACCCGTGCGAACTCACAAGAGGTCCTACCACCAGTATTTTTATTACACGGTGTTATTCCTTCACCGTGGAAGTCAATCGTTTACATTTGTCAAGTACATATTTCATTAGAAAATTTGGTACCCTCCTGCGGGATTCGAACACAGTTGCATCGCTAAATACTAATGCACCGGATGTCTTACCTTTTAGGCCACGACTACTTAAAAATGAATATGCTTAAAAATTAACAAACACTACATTAATAAAATAAAGTTTCACGTGTGAGTTTTTCTCAAATTCCAGCGAAAAAGTTAAAAGTGCGAATCTTTTATTCACCTTTAGTGCATCCATATTAATAGATCAGCGTGCACTATTCTAGACCAACACCACAGAACAAACCATTTAGTTTAATTATATTTAGGCCTGAGTGAAAAATTCGACAGTACAAGAAACTTGACTGTATGGGCTATATCCGCTTGCCTATTCAAGTAATTGCATTAAAAATGTTTTTGTTAGTGTTTATTCTTTAACTAATGAATGAATGTAGGTAGGAGACTTTTTGGCGGGAACGCGAGGAGTGAAGTTGTGTGATTTGTTTTATTTTGTCTATTTAGTGTTTCTTCGGGTTTAAATGTGTAATAATTGTGGTTTATTAACTGTTTAATATCTGTGAGAGTGCACAAACGTGGGAAAATGACACAAAGCTGCTGGACGTAACTTCTCGGGATCCTACAAAAAGTCCACGGAAAAGTCTCAGTAAGTAAATGACCACCATTTTCATCCCATATCATCGCATCTCATTTCATATAATTTCATCTCAGTTGATTAATGTCTCAAATTAATTATCTTCATTTCATTTCATTTCACTCCATAATATCATTTTTCATAAAAATAAGAATACCTATAAAATAAAATAAGACTTGACCTAAAGGTCTTAGTTACCAGGTCAAAAACCCTTAAAAAAAAGTACAAAAATACTGAATTTATGAACACAGGAGGGAGAGTAGGGGTAAAATAATATTTTTAATGTTATAAATACTTTTTTAAATATGTAATTTAATTACTTTAAATTAAATGTATTATCTATGGATTCAATTCACTCAATTCCAATTTATTTTACTATACCTAAAGTAAAATATAGTTTGAAATAACATAGTGTACGTAACTTAATGTATTGTAAAGGTTGTGTAAGGGTACTAAATTATTATTTTTTATCACAAAACGGCAACGAAACAGTAATTGATGAAAACACCACGAGCTATAAAATGCGCACTCATTAATTGTCATTATAAATAAAATCATCATTGTTAATAGTGATCAAAATGAGTTCAATCAAAAAGTTTGTACACGTATTCGTCGGTTGTTGCTCGAGTGCTTTCATAATGGAAATTCTCATGACAAAAATGCCAGAGTGCGCTACTTTTATTACGTTTCTTCAATTTTTATTCATAACTGTTCAAGGTTTTGTGGTAACAACAAAATTAGGAAAAGTAAGTTTTCCGAATTTATTTTGCATATTAACACACGTCAACTCAACAATAAGTTACAGGTTGTTACATTATAGTTTATCTGATTTAAATTTGACCTACCTGTCAGACTCGTGAAGGAAAGGTAATTTAGAAGGATTAAAACTTTTCTGCAGATTATTGCCTTATTTGCAATGTCAACTTTTCTATAGTACCCAACTGTGCTGTAATTTAATAAAGTGTTATTCATAATATAATACTCCACATTGCAGATTGCGCCAAAAATACCTTTAAAAAGCTATGGAATTTTGGTTACACTATTTTTCATATCAAGTGTAGCAAATAACTATGTCTATGCATTACATGTTCCATCCACTCTACATATGATTATAAGGTAGGTTCAAGAAAAAATCAGAACATACGTACATCAGACTACAATCAGATTTTATGATTATAATTTCGTATCTTTGCAGATCTGCTTCATCACCAGCCAGTTTGTTGGTCTATTGTTTAATAAAAAAACAAAAACCAAAACTGAACAAGACTGTAGGTTCGATTCTTATAAGTTTTGGGGTTGCTTTAGCTATGTATGGTGGTGCTCCCCCAACAGAGCAAAAAGGTAAATTAATTTATTGGTGCATAGGAGTCACTATATTGCTGTCAACACTGATAACCGGTGCATTCACTGGCCTTCAACAAGAAATACTTTACACAAAGTATGGGAAACATCCTGATGAGGTAAAATTTGCTAATTGTTTTTTCTTTTTTATTTATAATTTTGTTGTTGAAATACAATGCTTTTACAGATGATGTTTTATACCCACACAATACCTTTGCCCCTGTTTATTGGAATTTATCCCCAGCTGAAGAATATCTCCAAGAACATAAGTTTGGATGTCTGGGTCCTTATTATATTAAGTATAATTTCTCAATATTATTGTACACATTGTGTCCACAAGTTAGGTACAACAGAAACAACAGTGACTGTCACTTTTATATTAACCTTAAGAAAATTTGCATCCTTATTATTATCTTCTGTAGTTTTCACTAACAATCTCACTGTGTTTCATTGTATTGGGACTGTATTTGTAGCACTAGGCACTTATGTATATTTTGATTATTTTATTAGTAATAAACAAGTATCTGTAAGTCTTAAAGATAGATAGTCTTATCATTGTTGGTAATTAGGTAGCTAATTAAGTATTTTTTTTGTTGTCATTGAGACTTCGCTGATGAAGAAAACATTCTGATAAGTTTAATTTCATAACTATAATTGTTATCTTGATAACATTTTAAATTAAAAATAAAACTAAAAATTTACATCAAAATTATATTTAAGTCATCTTAATAATATCTATGAAGTAAAATATGTATTTTAATTCCTTAAAATTAATGAAGTGAGTGATCTAAACACTTATAAAAGTTTTAGACTTATGTTTTCAAAGACAGCTAATGCAGGTTGCATTATTATTAGCAATAGTATACAAATTACTCCACACGCATTTTCACATGTACACGCTTAAAACTATAAGTCTTTCACATTGTTCTTCTAAAATCTGCACAACTTCTCAATACCTATAAAAAAAATACGTGATTACTAGTAACTGAATAAAAAATAAAACCTAATAAAACCTGAAAAAAAAAAAAGCTTTTCATGTTTAACTTTTTAATCTTTAGTAACATATTGTATTTTTTATCTTTCTTAGTAGACTTTATATTATTCATAAATGTCTTTTTGTTCACAAATTGTAGCTTATATGATGGATAAATCGTTTTCAAATTCGTGTCATGGAAGGAAATTACGTGATGCAATTAGTGAAGTGCGATAATAGAAATATTCTACACAACGGTAAATTTAAATATGAAAACGCATAAAACATACAATAGTTAAAGTAACTGCATAAGTAATTATGACAAATATCCAAAATTAGTATGAATATACCTACCTCATTCAAAATGAGAATTTAATATTTTCTTTTATTAAAAAGAATAAGATTTAAAAACCATTAGGTTTACCTGGTTTTGCTGTCAGAACGACTGCGACGGTCGCGTGATCGTGAACGGCGGGGAGAAGGAGAGCGACGGCGAACTGAAGGCGACCGTCGTGGAGACATTGACCGGCCGCGAGAGTATGATCGGCGGCGGGGACTACGACTGCGTGACCTGCTGGAATCAGATGATAATGTATAAAATCACTTTTTGGTCATAACTGATAGCCAACAGTTTAAAGACAACCATTAGCCCCGCTGTCAACAATCGCAATGTTAACAGGCTACCACCAACCATGAGTACTCTTTACACCTTTTTTTTCTTCAGTAAAACTGAATGCTTAGAGGTTGGGCCCTTTAAACATTTAATTTAACATAGAATCTGCTATTATTGAATTTTTATGTATTTTTTTATAGAAACGTTCTAATAAAACTAAAATAAATGTCCGTTCGCTCTAACTTTCCTACAATACACCTGATAATACACCAACACAAAATTACTAAATTTAAATACAGGTATCAAGGTAAGGTTCTAAGTATAGGATTCAAATAGTACCGATACATGGTGAGCCTGCGAAGAAGGTCGACCGTTGTGCGACTGCTATGAGGCCGTAGGAAATAATTGAGGCGAAGTTGGATTTTCAACTTTATCTTCCGAAGAACCGGTGTAGTGGAAAGCTCAATAAAAATTGTGGTAACACAGGGAGGTGGTTCTGTCGCCGTTAGTAGCTTGGTGCCACGGTGAAACGTGTGTGCACTCGTAGATATGTCAACGTTTGAGTATTTTATTCAGTGCACTTGTTGTTTTCCTACTGTTGGAGGTTTCGAATGTGTTTTCAATTCCAAGTTCAGGTAAAATTGAGGATTAGGTGACTGCTGTGAGAAGGATTGTTATGGGGACGCAGTTGTTGGTGACTTCGTCTGCACGCAGCAGTTGGGTGAGACGACCGCAGAAGTCGAGCAAGATGTTGATGCGAGCGGCGATCGCGGATGTCAAATTGGTTAACAAGCCGTAGTTGTGAAGAGATGTGGTGAGGTCGTTGGTGTGTTGGTGGTTTGTTGAAAAAATGGACCTGCAAACGTTCCAACACCCACCACATTTAATATCTCACGTGTGAACTTAGATTCTACTAAAGTACTACATTCAAATTAAATATAAGCAATATGTGAAATTGGCATTGAATAATGTTATACATTTTCTTCAATATTTGTCATCATTGAAAATTCATTATTTACCACTCATTCTCTCAGATCTTATCAACTAATATAGTAAAATAAATAAAATAAAACTCAAAATCTCTGATAGAAAAAGAAATTAGCACTAAAAAGTCCAATTTCATAAAAGAAAGAGACAACTGCCAGTGATAAATCTTTGATAAACAAAATGAGCAGATTATATAATAAATTCTTGGACCCAGAAAGTAAGAGTCAACATTAAAAAAATACCTGCGGTCTCTCCTTGTGCGACCATTTGACATTTCGACACGAATCCTGGTGCCACAGCAGCGTCTGCAAAAGTTAAGTCTGATCAGCATGTGATCACAAGTTTTCATAGAGTTCAAGTATTGGTTAGCAGAGAAAATATGTTCCCCATTCCAAGACAAGTTGTCTTTTTTTGCCAAATACAACATTTCAGTCTTAGATTGGAGGTATCATGATATAGCACACTTATGACTCAAGCATTTCACATTGAAAATGAAATGGATCTAAGGAGTGTGCAGATACAATAAAGCTTTCAAAAAATATACTACAATATATTTTTCTATAATGATCAGGAAAACAATTTTTTTTTTCAAAAAAAATTATGAATAATGGTTCCCAAATACACAATCACAACGTAATTCTAAGTTGTGGGGTTATATGAAGGGCTGGGTTTACTATACTTATATTAAGATTGATAACAACAAAGTGTTAAAAGTGAAAATGTACGTTAGTAGTTCACGGCATCCCAAAATGTTATTATCGTTTACATCGTAAAAGTCTATTCATATGCTTTCGAACCTGATACCTATTAAAACCGGATAAATTAACTATAACCAAGATGGCCGCGAGTATGGCTCCATCGGAAATACCATACCGATCGATAAGTGTAAAATTTGAAAAAATGTAAAAACTTACGTTCCATCAAGTCCACGAACAGAGTCTTCAGCATCACGGGGGTCTTCGAATTCTACAAATGCAAATCCGGGCGGATTTCGAGCTACCCATACGTTACGTATGTTACCGTATTTAGAAAATATTTTTTCTATTTCATATTTAGACGCATTAGTACCCAAGTTGCCCACGTACACTTTGCAAGAAAGATCCCATTCTCTGTAGCGAGACATCTAAAATAAAAAGACGACGTGTAATTTGATAACCGCCGCCATGTTGGTGCCACTTACTAATTTTAATTGCATGGATTTTAATAATAGTGTTAGACCCAAATTTATGAAAATATTGACACTTACCTTAGTTTTGATTGACAAAGGTGGATAAAAATTATTCACAATATTTCACTAAATTTAATTTTTTATTCGCTCGCCACAACCTTTCGTCTCCACGTTTGACGGATGAATACAAAAAAGGCATAGATAACACACTTAAATTTTCTTAAGCGATTTTATGACCTGGTAATTAAGACCCTTAAGTCATCTTATTTTAATTTATATCCTTAATTTTATGAAAATTGAAAATATGGAGAGAAATGAAATAAAATGAAATGATATGGGATGAAATTTAATCTCAACAAAATGGTGGTAATTTACTGGATTTTTTTAATGGTCTTTGTTTCATATTCTCACATTTATGTACTTTCACAGATATTAAACAATTAATAAACCACCTTTATTACACATTTAAACCTGAAGAAACACTAAATAGGTAAACAAAATAAAACAAATCACACAACTTCACTCCTCGCGTTCCCGCCAAAAAGTCTTAATACACATAATATTAAAGAAGGAAATAGTATTGGCAGTGAGCTATAGCGATGGGTCGTCGACTGGATTTAATGAGTCCAGTCATGATTCGTTCGTGTTAATATGAGTTGGGGTCATCCTAGGTCTTGTTAGGCTGCTGTTTTTTGCTGCTGTGCATCTACTTGGAAGGGTAGACGTAAAGTAAGAAGCACTTGTTTAAGGGACAAGTTGAAAAAGTGTCACTCTTGTAAACAGCAAGTTTTTGTTGGAAGACTCACCGAAATAGCACCAATGAAGGAAGTGGAAATGATATATTTTGAATGTAGCAGTTTAAACAGACTGAAATGGGCTGAGTTGACAAAAAAATAATATTATTCGTGATTAGTTAAAAAATATTTAGTATTTTAAATCTCAACTATTTATTTTTAATAATAGTGTTTCTTTCCTTCTTATTTTAAAACTCTAATTTAACAGTTTATGGCTTTGTTATTAAAATCTTTTCATTTGCTACTATGGCGCGCGCCATCTTCATTGGCCCCTTACAGCGGACACTTTTGCCCGAATACACTCAGTTGGTGCTCCTTTCTTCTGACATTCTGAAGGCGCGATGAGTTAAGTTACTGAAATCTATGACAATAAGTTAAAGCACGATGTAGTTCGATTAGTGATTTTGTTATTGCCTTTGTAAGCAGACGAGTATACGATCTATCTGATGATCAGTGGTTACCGTCGCTGTTTACCGTTGAATAGTATACGCATTTCTTGTTTGAAGAAGGGCATGTCATACTTCATACACGACACTTCGCGACACACTGAGCAGACTCGGCGAGAAACTCAGCGAGTTATGTCTATGGGCTCTATAGCGCTATCTTCGTCGGAGTCGACAAGTTCGACGAGGACGGTGACCGGCGCTTGAAGAGCGTAAAAGCACCGATACATGTTATGGGCGACGGCGACTTTGCTTATTTGCTTTGCTCCGTCGCCTGGGTCGGATATGTAGTTAGTGGTGGCCACGATAAGAAGGTTATCGTGTTGCGCTGCTTTTTCAAGGTTCTGACGCTTCTCTAATATACCTACTTATTGGTTCAAGATTTAAGCCGTCGTGAAGATCTACATTCCTCACATATCACGGTGCTCCGACGGCTATCCTGCAAAAACGAGACTTAGAGAGAGTTAATGTGTGTACAGGCTGTGTGAGAGAACACTACAGTTGCATAGATCGTGACGGTATGCAAGTTTTGTAGAGTGTCACCTTGTTATGAAGGGCAATTATGGTTATTTCGCTTTCAGATCATGTGGTAGATCATGATAGACGAGATACTAGCAGTAGTGTCGGGAGATAGATCTTAACTAGCTTAAGTTATAAAAGTAAATGAACAAGCAATAAATCACGTTCAACCTTGACGAATAAACGTCGAATAATAAACAATTTTCAAAAACACGATAAAATCAATTCTACTCTTCGACACCTCGAAAGTAATTGGGCGACTTGACACTAGTAGTTCGGGATTGTTGACAGTTAGATAATTTCTTGTCAATTGTCATTCGTCTCTCGATCGAGTTGTGTCTTTTGTTTGTAGTTATGAAATACGAGGTATTGTACGAAATAAAATAATTTCAGTTAGTTTAAACGAAGCGAAAATGGATGTAGTGGATCTATTGAGCAACATAAACGATAAAGCGAACATGTTCGCTGTCACTACTTGGACATCAGAATGGTCGAATAATTTCCAAGAGAATCAAGTATGTATTGATTTTTTGTTATTCTTGGTCAATTGTTTTATTAGCAGTCTACGCTTTTGGTTTAATATATTTTTTTAAATGTTAAAGTTAAATTCTGCGTCAACATTACAGTTTTATTATTAGAAATTGTCATCCTTGAAACCAATGTTAAATGATAATTCACGAGTAGCGTAGGTACGATGTTTTGTTGTTTTTAAAATACAAAACACTGTTTAATTTATCAGTCGCGTTATATTTTTTTTGTTTTCATAACAACAAAAAAATCTCTAAGAAACAATTAAATTGTCAAAGCAGTAGTGAAAAGTTAGCTTTCGTTTTTTTAATATTTAATAATTAATAGTACGTAAAAGTTTTAAATTAAAAGTAAAATTTTAAATTAAGAATTTTTTACAAAGTGTTTCAAAAGTGAGAAAAAATATTTGAGAATATTTTTTTTCAGAAAAACCTTAATAATAACGTTCTCTTTACCATATTGAAATATAAATGGTAATGTTTAGAAAAAACCTAAAAAGTTCACAGATTAAAGAATGCTTAATGATTCTTTGCTCATTAAGTTTAATGTCTAGGGGGTGATTTAAAAAGTAATCTTGTTTCAATGGAGTTTGCTAAGTACCATAAAAGGTGTGCTAACATTATATAAAATAAAGCCTTGAAATAGTTTTTAATCTATATGTACATGGTCAAAAATAATAAATTGTTTGAGAGCATTCAATCATCAAGGTCATCTTGCTATCATAGTGTTACACAAAGTAGTTCACTATTTTTCTAATCTTCTGATCTTTAAAACAATTTTTCTACTCATCATTTATTTATCTACCTGAAATATACTCAATAAAATTTTAGCAGTGACAGACCGAGAAAATTCGTATTTCTGTTGTGAAGCCCTTCACAGCCCCCCATCATCCTATTTCTTTTAGAAAGCAGTTAAGTGTTTCAGTTTGAAAGGCTATGGAACTATTCCCCCATCTAAGCAATAAAATATACTACTGTCTTGTTTATTTATATTATTCATTATTATTATTAATTATACTAAATGTTTTGAGCCCAATTATGTCATGCCGGCTGATATAAAATTTAATGATATACAAAATTATTTTTGCTAGAAGGGTTTTATAGCTATTATTGTTATTAAGACAGACTGACTTTTAAAGAAGCGGCATCCACTGCTGAGCTTGGTAGTCGAGCTTTATTGGTACAATATTCTAAACTTCATTTGTTTGCAGTTGCTGTGGTCTTTCTGTGGCTGCCTTTTAGTATCCTTGCTGATCGTATTCTTTTATTACTATAGGAGATGGCGAGTCAAAGGTAATTAATATTAGTGTTCAACTAACAAAACTGATCACATAACATTTTCAGATTTGATTTTTTTGTTATTTCTTAAATAAAACTGTTTTCAAAATGTAATTATGTTTGAAAATAGATCAAAATGTAATTATTGATAATACAAAGGCTTACTAAACAAAAAAATGTAATACATCTGTTGACAAACAAAAGAGCAAATAATACCTAACAGTTTTTTTAATTGAATGTCCATGTTTTCTTTTGAAAAGTAAGCTCGACAATAGTACTAAAAAGTATGAAATTTATTGACAAGCAGACAATGCTTGTGCTTAACTGTTTTTGAGAGAGAAAGATAGAGAGAGTATTCTTTATTGTACACCAAAAAAAAATTAACAATGAGATACATTCAATACAAAAAAAGTACAGTTGGTGGTCTTATTGCTATGTTTTATTTGTTTTTATGAATAAAACTGACTTTTCTAGTAACATTTATTGGCAACAGCATAGCTCACAATACAATAGCTACTAATAGTTAAAAATCCATAATAAATAGTCTGTGACCACGACAGAAATAATATTATTATAACGGCAATAAAAATCACTACTTTATAGCTTCAAAGTTGATTTGATTTTGTAGATGACTCGCAAAGGGCACCAAAAATACTACAAATAAAGAATATTGACCACTGATAATAGACTATCCTGTCTTTACATATTATTTATAAATATATTTGTGTTACAAGTGAATTTTATAATTGATAAAATAAACATTAATAGTGAGTAATAGACTAAAAATATAAATTATGATAATGTGTGATAATTTTTACAAATTCGATCTATCCAATTTATAAATTTGAATAGACTAAAACCAGTGAATTTATTAATATGAATTAATATAAATGATACATTAAGACCGAAATTGATTTGAATTTCATAATTTCAGTATCAAATTCGACCTTGGTTCTTAGAACTTTCTACAATTTTTCTATTGAAAGGAAAATTAAAATTTGGATTATAAACGTTGTATAAAACATAATGAATAATTATACGTAATTATACTTGATTGAGTTATCGTAAATTATCATTTTGAAAAAAAGTATTATTTAGTAGGTACCTAATCTTGTTAGTTGAATTTTTTTAAGAACTTTTCGACATTAACCTCTTTATATAAAATTTAATCCAGTCTACCCTAACCACGAAGCGATTACGTATTTACGTAGTTGAGGCAAGAGCTTAAATCGCAAAACAGCTTTAGGAATTAAAATTAAGTTAGTTTTTTTAGTTTTTTTATGGCCGTTGTAGGCAGACGAGCATACGGCCCACCTGATTGTGACTGGTTACCGCCGTCCATGGACTTTAGCAATGCCAGGGGCAGAGCCAAGCCGCTGCCTACCGCTTATGCCATTAAAATCAAGATAATGACTACTTAATATCCTACAGAATTAGTTGGCGATGTCTGCGCGTCAGGGGCTGCAGGGGAGCCGGCGAAGCGTTTCAGAAAACGCGACAAGATGATGTTCTACGGTAGACGTATGTTAAGAAAAGTCAAGTCCATATCAAACTCTGGTCAGGGTCGCAAGAGGCGAGCTGTCATGAGGTTCGCGCGTAAACTCCTACAGCTCAAAAAAGACTCCGCTCCTGAACAACTTAAGGTAAATAAATTGATTTAATTTCCTAATTATGCAGTTACTCCCGCTGTCGAGGAGTTAAAACACACATTGAACGAATATATATTTTTTTCTTTATTCTATATTTTACACACAGTTAATAAAATACAATTTATAAAATGGCAAGCTTAACTCAACAATTGAGTTATCTACCAGCTAACCGTTCTTAAAGAGGGAGAGCTTTACATAAGTGGGTAGAAGAGTACAATCAAATTTTTTTTGTTTTTGTTCTTTTACTAATTACATTTGACTCAATACAGAAGATAATCCCAATCTGACGGATCTTCTCGAACCTCTGGCTCCATGGACGAACTTTGTCTCTGTACCTGTACTATGTTATAGACAGCCTGTGGAATTGTTTCATACGATACCGTCACAACAATTTTACCTTCCACCAGAGTACAGTTGAACTCGACCTCCTTGAACCACTGCTAAACTGGCAAACACTTTTTACTGGTGGTAAGATCTCTGGTCAGCCGCACGGGTAGGTACCACCACCCTGCCTATTTCTGCTGTGAAGCAGTTATGCGTTTCGATTTGAAGGGTGGGGCAGCCATTGTAACTATACTGAGATATTTTTTATTTTTTTTTATTACTTAGATGTGTAGACGAGCTCACAACCCACCTGGTGTTAAGCGGTTACTGGAGCCCATAGGCAACTACGGTGTAAATACGTCACCCACCTTGAGATATGAGTTCTAAGGTCATCTCATAAGGTCAAGTCGTGTCTCAAGGTAAGTGGCGGCATTTACGTTGTAGGCGTCTATGGGCTCCGGTAAGCATTTAACACCAGGTGGGCTGAGAGCTCGTCCACCCATCCATGCAACAAAAAAAAAACCTAGGGACCTATTCTAGAAAAAAAAAATACACTATTCAATCACCTGGTTTTACATTACGTGTTAGTTAATCTTTAGTCAACATAACAGGATTTGCGTTCGTAGATGCTGATTAAATATTGAATTTGGCAACGCGTTGCAAAATGTTCTTTTTGGTATTCATTTTTGTGCAATGTACGGACGTTCTCTTAGGTTGTTATTTCGTGTTTCGCTACGAAGATTTTTACGTCGCAGACTAGTTAAATGGTTTTATTGCCAGTTTTTTTTCCTACCTGTTCGTTGGTAATCTAAGGGGCTATTCCAATTTTGCGCGGATCGGTACGTAATCTCACGGGGTTTTTTTTTTTATTGCCTTTGTAGGCAGACGAGCATACGGCCCACCTGATGGTGAGTGGTTACCGTCGCCCATGGACTTCAGCAATGCCAAGGGCAGAGCCAAGCCGCTGCCTACCGCTAGCCAAGCCGCTGCCTACCGCTGGCCAAGTCGCTGCCTACCGCTGGCCAAGTCGCTGCCTACCGCTGGCCAAGCCGCTGCCTACCGCTGGCCAAGCCGCTGCCTACCGGGGTCAACCTAAGGCAATTACTAACACTAGCCCCAGCAAAAGCAGTGCTTCTTTTAATCTACTATTGAATCGCGACCCACTGACAAGACCCGGCGAGAAACTCAGTTGGTTGACTCGTTGCGAGTAGATAGTAGACCGCGCATACCTCGAGATGTCATTGTTAAAACACAACTGATGTCCTACATAAAGGATGAGTTGGTATAATTCAAAGTAATTCGTTAACGTTTTTAAAAAGCCCTTCTGTTATATGTTTAAAAAAAATTTAGACTAGGTTTAATAGTGATATCATCCTGTTTCGACAATAATTTGACATTCTTATAGCGTTATGTACGAACATTAGGAATTCTTTAGGTATTTGTTACAGAGCTCGAGAAATCTATTTCCGTTTATAAACCTGTGTCCTTGCGCATTTTTTAGTGTGCACGGCTTAATTGTCGTTTGAAATAACATTGACAATAAATACTTCAATATGAAGTTTATTGATATAATTCATTTTTAAGTTTTACACAGTGATACATTGTGGCCACAGATGATTTCATGCAATGTCAAGGTGATGTTGGTGTGCGTTTTATTAGTGTCGCCGCGCACGCCCTACTTCGATAAAGCGGCACTACACGAGAATTCTCTCATCGTGGCCACCGCAAACTACATAGCGGATCCTGCGGACCGAATGGTAAACAGCCGACGTCGCCCAAAACCGGTCATTTCGGATCCTCCCGATTCAGTAACGGTCGAACCCGTCGCTTGCGACGAAGGGCGCGGCGAGTAAATTAACCCACAGACACAGCCCATTGAGTTACTGGCCGGATCTTCTCAGTGGGTCGCGTTTCCGATCTGGTTGTAGATTCTGCGAAGCACGGCTCTTGCTAGGGATCAGGTTTGAGTCCCGTGAGCTCACCTACTAGCCCGGTGACGCTGATATGGTCTCTCTAGACAATCAGCATAGGTAGGAAAAAAAAAACCGCACACCGTTGGACGCCGGTGGCTGCCACCAAAAATGCCAAAATGTATGAAAATTACAGGAAATATTCCGGTGTCGGCGTTTTGTGGTTGTGGCCGGTGGCCCTGTGCGGCGACCCTTTAAATGGTGTTTTCTGACATTTGTTGAAAGCGGCTTGCTTTGTTTTTGGTCGTCACTTAATCGAACTAAAATGTTTTTGTGTGATCCACACGCTTCGACCACCAAATCCAGGCTACAAGTAGACATACGTTTCGTCTCCGTGGACTATGATTTCGAAGTGCCAACACTACTGTCGTAGGTAGGAGCTTGGCGCTGTCCTTGGCATTGCTGACATCGACAAGCGATGATAACCACATACCACCCGTTGGCTTTTATGGCTCGTCTGACTACAAAAGCAAAAAAAAAAACAATAGTAAATTGCACAGTACAGATCGAGAATGCGTCACATATCCAGAACGAATAAGTAACATCTTTTCATTTACATTAACGTCATAAGGATTCTCTGAGTAAACATCAGACGTCATAGAATTTTATTCGTTACTCGGTAAAAGGAATGGAATTATAATGAGTAATGTAATATTTGGAATATTTCGTAACAGTATACCGCGAATTGGCAAACGTAATGCAGGACGCCCTCAGCCTCGGTGGAGTGACGATTTAGGCAGAATAGCTGGCAAAGGTGGTGATAGAAGCCGAGAATTGTGCTCAGTGACGTGCAAATGGAAAGGCCTATGTCCAACGGTGGACTGCTATATGCTGATGATGATGATGAACAGTATATTTTTATTTTCATTGCATAAATGGGTGGACGTTCTCACAGCCCACCTGGTGTTAAATGGTTACCGGAGCCCATAGACATCTATAACGTAAATGCCGCAACCCACCTTGAGATATGAGTTCTAAGGTCTCAGTATAGTTAGTTATAATTAGTTACAACGGCTGCCCCACCCTTCAAACCGAAAAGCATTACTGCTTCACGGCAGAAATAGGCAGGGTGGTGGTACCACCCGTTCGGATGCACAAGAGGTCCTAGCACTACACTACGATGTCGTTTAAAATATTTGTAAATTTTACTTATTGTACTGTTTGAAGTTACATAATAGTAGATAGATTAATGAATACGAAAGTTACTGTCTGTCTGTCTGTTACGCTTTCTCGCCCAGAGCTCTGAACCGATTTTGACGAAATTCGGTATGTAAACAGTTTTAAATCATGTACCTAAAGGATAATCATATAGGCTTTCATCCCATCGTTGCGAACGGTTCGCCGATCAAGCGAGATAAAACTTAGTTACGCAGACGGAAATAGTCGCGGAAAGCTATGTAAATTTTATTTAAATTTATTGAAGTATACGCGGTAATATTATACTGGGTGTTAGGAGACCGCTTCCGAAAACGAAGACTTTGTACCTACAAAGTTGTACATTTTGAGGAGCGCGGTATACAGCGCCGGTATGCGCGTAAAAGAAACGCTGCGCTCGGGCGTTCGTTGGTCCGAGCATCAGCTGTTTTTTATTTTGTGTTTCATTGCTGGTTTTTTTTAGTAAAGTAATGTATTTTTTTATGATAGTATCGTTTCATTTAGCTGTACTAACATGATGGAACGTAAATAATGCTAATAAAACGTTTTAACGATATGTTTTTTTTAAAATCAGGGTCGATTTTTTTCCCGTCCCATTATCACAGGTGTCACTAATATACTATTGTCTGTTTTTTTTTTCGGAAGTGGTCTCCTAACACCCGTTATAAATAATAATGTAAAGTTTGTCAATCTTGAAATGTTTTATGAAACTCAAATGCGCTACGAATGTGCGTCGCCAATCCGGCTTTGGCCTGCATCAGCTACAGCCGTTACTTCTCCATCATACGGTCGTATTGGCATAGGTAGTCATCTCTCACTTTATTTTCCGACTTAACTCTCCTTTGGTTCTTAAGTGTTCTTGGTAGGATGTGTTGAAAGCTGGCACGTATTAAGGAAGCTCCATGTGCCTGCCGTGAATATATCATGTATGCCAATTTAAGTATCAGTATTTGAATGAGATGAAGATGGCTCTTTCGGTAAAATTGAAATTTCAGCGTCGTCATTGCAAGGTAACCTGGGTTTTTATATTGTCTTGATATATAGAGGGGAATATGTTGTTCATGAACGTTAGCAAGAGATACAGTCAAGTTTCTGCCTACCGCTGCAATTAAGTAGTCAGCCCTTGTCCACTGAAGATTTATCCCACCAAATTATCCACGCGGGATACTTACTAAATTCGATATTTCACTCTCTATACAGGTACTGGAACCACCAGCAGAATACTTGGAAGAGGACCTCACAAGTGACGATCGAGTTCCACCGGATGCTCTATACATGCTGCACAGCATCAGAGTTTTCGGGCACTTCGAGAAACCAGTCTTCCTAATGCTTTGTAAACACACTGAGATACTGAACTTGCCTGCTGGCTCATTCCTGTTCAAAGTTGGTGAGTCGAATGAGTGAAGCTTTCTGTCTCTCTCTCTTGCTTCTCTTTTTGCCTTCTTGTTGTTCAAGGAAATATGTACTTAACAGATATTCACTAATGATACGAAGTTGGAATAATACTATGTTATTCCATCACATCATCACATTCATCCATACAGGTACCGAGGTAAGATGCTACTTAATTACTCAGTAATCATGCGTCTCACTTAGATCTATGGTATGGCCGTTATACTTCAACTAAGTGTCTAAATGTGACGCCTACGCCACCTAACACCAGATTTCCATCAATGCCAAATAATAAATGACCCATATTACTGTACAAAGATTTATTTGATAACCGTTTGAAGCACGTTTTCAATATATGAAATGGCTTTCGCTCCTTTGAGTACTGCTTTAAAAGAGGCTAGTAAGAGTCCTTAGTGGTAGGCAGTGGCAGTGTACTGCTACGCCTCCATAAATGACGATAACCACCACATTGCCGGGTCTATACTGCTTTCGTTAGTAGAAAAACTACATTCATCGGAAAGCATTTTTTTTTATTGCTTAGATGAGTGGATGAGCTCACAGTACACCTGGTGTTAAGTGGTGTTAAGTGATTACTGGAGTCCATAGGCATCTATAACGTAAATGTGCCACCCACCTTGAGATATAAGTTCTAAGGTCTCAAGTACAGTTACAACGGCTGCCCTACCTTTCAGACCGAAACGCATTACTGCTTTACGGCAGAAATAGGTAAAGCAGTGGTACCTACCCGTGCGGACTCACAAGAGGTCCTACCACCAGTGATATCGGTTAATTGTCAATTTACAATCTGTAACCAGGATTTTTATCGGACAATGAACGATATCTCTATCAGAGCGGGTTCATTGGATTTGAAGCACAAATGAATATTGAACTCTTTTTTATTATTATTATTAGGTGACACCGACGAAAACGTATACGTGGTTCAAACTGGTCGTGTGAACGTATACATCACGAATCAAGACGGAAGCAGTCTCTCATTGAAGGTCGTCAGGGCGGGAGAGAGCGTCACGTCTTTGCTTAGCTTTACTGATGTTCTCACGGTATTATTTGTTGTTGTTTTATCTTCTTTTTTTGGCTCCGGCACGGTTTGTGCATTAGCCAGCGTCATGTAATAAAAAAATTATAATCCGCCGTTTAAATTATTTACAGTTTATGAACAACAGAAAACGAAATAAACTAATCGCGACATAACATAAATGATTAAAAGCGAATTAAATTACAAAAAAAAATAACATGGCATGAAATGGAATGAGATGAAATGAAATATGGCATGAAATATAATCTCAGTAAAATGGTGGTCATTTACTGAGATTTTTTCAGTGAACTTTTTGGAAGATCCCGAGAAATGACGTCCAGCCGCTTTGTTTTATTTTCCCACATTTGTGCACTTTCACAGATACTAAACAGTTAACAAACCACCGTTATTACGCATTTAAACCTGAAGAAACACTAAATAGACAAAACAGAACAAATCACAAAACTTCACTCCTCGCGTTCCCGCCAAAAAGTCCGTTGTTGTTTTTTATAGAGATGTTTAGTGTGCGTCGAACGAATTGGTGACGTTTGTGACAAGTCAGACTGGGCCGCGCTTAAGGCCGATACTTTTTAAATCATTTCGACTTATGAGAGAATAGGACTTAAGACCGCCTTGGACGCCAAAGGACTTGGATGGACTGTGTGTATGTGCGTGTGAAGGGTATGAGTGGAGAAGTGACGTATGATACGTCTTAATGAAAAAAAGAGGACATTATACGTCGACCGTGCATAGTGGAATGAAACTACACTAGCTTGAATGCGTCATAGACACAGTTATTAAAATGCTCATAATAAAAGTGATGAATCACTTAATTTCACTTCAAAATCCAACTTATTAGATATTTAAGCAATTAATGTACTTAAAAAAATCTCCAGGGTCACTCGCAACCTTACAAGACAGTGAACGCCAAAGCTCTTGAAGATTCGCAAGTCATAAAGCTGCCAATGAGAGCTTTCCAAGAAGTATTCAAAGAGTACCCCGACATATTCGTCAGGGTAATACAGGTAAGATATTTCGCAATACCTGCGTCACGTATTTACAAGATGTGTGATGTTGTATTTTTATCCATCTAACCAATAAAAAATCATGTTTCAAACACGAATATTGTTACGCACTAGGATTCAGGATAAATAAGCGTTCCAACAAAGTACAACTTAAAACTGTATTTATCAATTAGAATACACACAGAACACTTTAAAATTCTTAATTCGCTTCTTCCTCTTCGCTTCAGGTGATCCGTTCGCTGTTTCGCTTCGTGTAGTTCTGATTACTAACCGACTACGTGCCATCTCAGCAACGCTTTTATAGTCGAGACGAAATCCCTAGAATCGTCGAGAACTTTCCTCACAAGTCGAGTACATCTGATGTGTTTCCGCTATCTGACAACAGATGGCGTTGTACTTCTCGAGCGTTCTATAACCTACTAGATCCTTAGATATTATTTCGGCTATTCGGCGATAGATGGCGTTACTTTTACTGGCGTAACAATATGTTATACATTTTTTTACCTGTGCGGAATTCGAACATCCGCATATACATCGGCATCGCTCGATACATATACATCGTCTTATCCAATAGGCCACGATGACTTGTAAACTTTACTTCGAAGACCTGTACACGAACTTTGTTACTTTACAGATCATCATGGTTCGTCTTCAGAGGGTAACGTTCACAGCTCTTCACCAGTACCTTGGCTTGAGTGCTGAACTTGTAAATCCTGTAAGTTGATACATTAGACGTTTCTAAGTAATGTAATTTGCATTTAAACATAATAGATATAAATGTTATAGATATAGATATAAATATGATATATAAATATATAAATAGATATATTTTATATAGGCGGATGAGAATACCTCAGGCGAGTGATAGTTGATGATCACTGATGTCAAGGTTTTAGGTCTTTGAGTTTAGGAAACACTATGGGTTACAATAATCTGATAGTCTTGAGTGGCTATTTCAGCTTCACCCTAACATATATAGGTGAGCTCACGGGGCTCAAACCGGAGTGTTGCTAACACTGACCCTAGCAAGAGCAGTGCTTCGTAGAATCTACCACCGGATTGGAAACGTGACCCACTGAGAAGATCCGGCGAGAAACTCAGTGGGCTGGGATACAGCCAAGCTGCTGTCTATCTATAAATGTTTTACGTCAGATAATATTTTTTAAATGATTGTTTGTTCAGGGCAAAGAGAAACGTCGACCGATGACGGTGTCGTCGTCTCCAGGGAAGACAGCAAAGGCGCCAGCTGACAACCTGTCGCACTCCCCGCATCCCGCCGACAAGTCCACCCCGGATAACGTGGTACGGTCTGCAATACAACTACTGTAATTTATTGTTTTATAAACGGATTTCTTGGTGTTTGAAAACGTTTCACTTGTAACATTTTCGAAAACATTATGCTTATACATATCGACGCTTGAAAGGCAAACGTGACTAAGCGACAATGCGTGAACTTTACAGTAGACTAATTTAAAGCTGAAATACCTGAAAAAAATTCTATTTTAACGAATCTAGCTGTAGTAGCATCTAGCTAGTAGCTGTAGGATTGAAATGATTATAATAGACCTAGAAATATATATTTTTTGAGCATCGAATATGGTTATTGCCTATCATTTATGTACAAAGCAGTTATTGTCGCTTAGTCACGTTTGCCTTTCAAGCGTCGATACATTTTGTTCACACACATTTGAGTGGTTTGGTTTTTTAATCGTTTTTAAAACTGTTTTTTTTTTCTTGTATCTTTTTCGTAAGGCATTGTGGACGTAACAAACATTAATTTCATTAAAGAAAATGATAAGTCTTGTGTTAATTCATTGTCTTGAGTTTGACATCATTGAAGATAATAAATTAATAATTCGATAGTATTGTCTTTGGTCTCGTGTAAGGAGTGGTATCTGTCCTAACACCCGGTGAAATGATCATCGATCTGGTTCATAACAAATTAATAAGTTTCCATAATCGCACAGGGCTGATAGTCGCTCGGGGACATCAGCAATGCCCAGACTAACCTTAGCAATGATGAAATAATAAAACGATCCTGTTTTGTTAACTGGTTTGAATGTTTGAATTTTGTGATTGTGTGTGTGTTGTGATGTTTGTAGCCGCTAACCCCAGTTCTGTGTCGGCGCATGTCTCAGGAGGGAGGGCATCAAGTCTCCTCGCCCATCCACATCCAGGGTCGGCGTCAGAGGCCCGACATGGTGCCCGACGTAACATCGAACACACTACAGGTAGGTTCCACATAACTAATTGAAATTTTATTTATAAATTTGTTGGAATTTTTAGCTTTTTCTTAAAACATTAATGATCTGACTCTATACAATGTGTCCGTGCGCCAGTGTTGGAAACTTAATCGGGGTAAAATGTGGGGATTTTTATCGACAATTTTCCCAACTTTTGGCCGCACCATATTAGAACTTCAGCGCCATTTTGTTTTTTTTCTTCGCAGCTCAGGCGCCTGTACTGATTTAATCATTGCTATCGATGTAGACGTCCTAGGAAGACGAAAGAGGTGTCATTTGAGAGCTAACAATGTAGACAATCAATTTTATGATACAATTTTATTTATTTTTACACAAAATAACAAAAAAGTATTAACAAATTAAATATAATAATATAAAAAGAATTGTGTGGTTTTATGAAACCACGGTAAAAGTGAAACTTTTTTCACATCATAGACATTTAACTCTGACAAAGAGCATTTACATTAAGCACTGACAAAAACAAACAAAATAGCGTGGAGCACTGGCACAAATGAGTAATAGTCTATACACTACACGGTCAGCTGCTGCTAACTATAGGCGCCGCCATATTGGCCTTGGCTGCTCTGATGACGCGATGAACGCGACATGCAAGACACAGACGAAAAAGTTTGAGACGAGGTAATAAAAGTTTCACTCTAATAATGCCTGAAATCTATTGTTTGACATGTGTTATTTGTTTTTAAGGGTTAAACCATGAACAATGATTAAATCAGTGCAGGCGCCTGAGCTGCGAAGTAAAAAAAATAAAATGGCTGCCATTCTAGTATGGAGGGGCCAAGAGAAAATTGGGATAGTGATTTGTCGATAAAAACCCCATATTTTACCCCCCTTCAGTCTGACACTGGTTCACGGACACATAGTATATATATATTTGAGGCCGTCAGCGCAAAAGGGGCCTAACCCACAATTCATATTCGTGTTTATGTAATGCAATTTATTTAAAACATAATAAATTTTGATGCAAAATCGGCTTATCCCTAGTTTCATTCATAGATAATAACAACAGTCTTTGTAAACATGATTTTAGCGCGTATGTTATTGCCTACGAAGTATTCTAAAGGTAAATTCGAACCTTATTATCTCCATACTAACTATGGTAAACTTAGGCCACTTTTGCGCTGACGGCCTCACTTAAGCTTTTCATAAGCGCCTGCTGCAAAGGCTGTTAAGCTAGCAGTCCCCCGATCTTGCTCGATATAACCTTCAGAAGAGTGGCGCCATTGTCACGCACTGTCAATATGAAGAATAGGCTTTCATAGACTTATGCTTTGGTCCAGCAGCCGGACGTGCAGCCGACATCCTCGCTGTCGCGCAGCAAGGAGGGCAGCTCCTCGTTCAAGAAGCACATCAATGACAACCTAGACGAGAAGGTAAGGTTTCATGCCAACAGTAACCGGCTCCGTGGTAAGGATACTTATCTCGGGCATACAGTAAGCCCGGCAAGTCTGGGCATAGCTATTCTGGTTCCCAGTGGGGGATTTACGTCTAGGCTCGTGAGCCCCGGGCCTTTTGAAGGGCGCCAAAGTTTTGTCATACATTACTTTAGCGAAACTAACCGTTTCCGCAGTACATGCAGCGGAAATGCTCAAAAGGGATTAAAGCCTTCCTCGATAAATGGGCTATCTAACACTGAAATAATTTTTCCAATTGGGCCAGTAGTTCCTGAGATTAGCACGTTCAAACAAATAAACTCTTCAGCTTTATAATATTAGTATAGATTGTACATAACCCCTTCATCCACTCATGCCTTGAAATGAGAAGATTCGGAAAGAGAACAATAAAACTGCAACCGTGGAATAGTTTTTACTTTATGCGTGACGATCCTAATTCTACATATTATCTACATTTCAACAGGCATTAACTCAAATAGCAACCGACGCGTTCGTGAAGGAGCTGGGTCTGGAGAACGAGCAGCTCTTGCAGGGGAGCGTGCAAGTGCGGGACCTGCCCGCCGGGACCTACATCATGAAGGAGGAGAGCCATAAGGTATATTTGAGGCCATCAGCGCAAAAGTGGCCTAACCCACAATTTTTTATATTCAAACTTATATGACGTATATTGGAATTTATTTAAAACTAGCTGACCCGGCAGACTTCGTAGTGCCTCAATCGATAAATAAAAGACCTAAACTTTTGTATAAAATAAACTTAAAACAAACAAAAGGATTCCGTCCGACGGGGGACACATCAAAGGAAAAACAAATTTGTTATTTTTATTTAATTCCGAGCGTTTTCATCATATCTATCTACCTTTTAAACCTTCTCTGAACTTCCACAAATAATTCAAGACCACAATTAGCCAAATCGGTCCAGCCGTTCTCGAGTTTTAACGAGACCAACGAACAGCAATTCATTTTTATATAATACAGTCAAGCCTGGATAAGCGAGAACTGGATAAGTGAGAAAACTCTATAAGAGAGAGTAATAGCCAGGACCCGTCATTTTAAGCTCCCAAAACCTCTATTAGCGAGAAACAGAAACCTGTGTAAGAGAGAGTCATTTTTTCCCTCATGGACCTCCGTAAGTGAGAGTGCTACTTATCTATACCTCTATAAGCGACAGTCGAGCTTTATTTATTTATATTATTTAGGAGGAACAAATGACAAAACAAATTACAAATTTAACATCTGCTATTTTATGACTCATTCTTAACTTTCGTGGAACTTCCTACCATTGTTTTTGTATTTTTTTCTCGTCAATATTGAACCTATTCGATTTCGTGGAACTAAATAAAATTGTTATTTTATCGCATTCTTTTCGACTGGACACGTGTGCCTGTGTACCGCCCTGTTTGTCGGCCTTACTCAGTTTATCGTTAATCAATTGCGAAGGAAAGTTCTGTTCTGCATCATGTCAAAACGGAAAATTAAAGTACTGTCATTAAGTGATAAACTTAAAATAGTGAATGCGTTTGAATACGGAAAGTCGCGAAATGAAATTCAGAGGGAGCATTAGCGAGAAACTCGGGTTAGTGAGAAACCTCTATAAGCGAGAATGAGATTGTGCTCCCTTGAACTCTCGCTTATCCAGGTTTGACTGTATATAGATAAATATAATAAATGTTGAAGCAAAACCGGCCTATCCATAGTTTTACCCATAGATAACAGATGGCTTTGTAAACATTATTTTTGCGCGTATTTTTTTTTGCCTACTCAAATTTAAATTCATAAAAATTCAAACCTAACGGCCTCATTTGCACTGTTGTACTGTCGCCGTGACGTTATTAAGGTTCGAAAATTAACAATATAGTTCATAGGAAAGTCGTGTCGTCGTTTTAGGGTTGTCAGTATTGACTAACTCGATGGTGCAGTAGTGATCGCCATTGTATGTTGTGCAGAGGGTCGTGGGTTCGATTCCCACATCGAGCAAACTTTCGTTTGATGAACAGCTTTGTTTTAAATATCGTAACAAAAAAAACTTCTTCGGCTATTTGTATGGGGTAAACTTAATTGAAGTTTATAGTGAGGGGTAGATCTCAGGGGGTATTTAAAACTATGGGTTAGTCACCAGTATCGAATTTCGAATTCTAATATTTCTTTAACACAAACAATTTTCAATTTTAAACGATAATTACATTCAGACGCGGGCGCACGCTATTCACACTCAAAACGGAAGCGCCCGGAACATAGATTATACACTGTTAAAAAGATGGACATAGATACTAACTATGTATAGCGAGCGGGCATACGGCCGCGAGTGTGACGTACCGGTCGGTTTGCTATAAGTTTAATTAGAAACATCAAATAGTCGATGCTTATATACCAAATGAAACTGAATAACAAAAATAAATGTCGCGTATTAAGCGAAATGTCGCTCAAATGAAATAACCTTTCATCTCTCGATATGAAATAAATATCTCGCATATGGTGCATGGCCTTTAAAAGCCACTGTTGGCGTTGACTACACAAATATGACTCGATTAATGCAATCGCGAACATCTCAACCCTACGACGAATGTTTTCAGGCACGACACACCGTCGTGAAATTTGTTAGTTAAAATTTAGATTTATCTCTACCTGTTGGGATGCCTCTCTGTTGTTGCCCTGAACGGGAGACGGATCCACGGCCGTGACTCATGAACCTCGGTAGTACAATACACACAGACAAAGCGCTCTCTACCACTGAACCTATTATTTAAACCTACCGTATTTATTACAAAAACACAGTAATTTGAACTAAAGTCGTGTAAGTCTTGAGAACGAAACGATTTTTTTTACCTATTTGTTTAGATATCATAAAGTATCAAGATTGTTAAAAGTCTGTTAACTATTGTGTTAATTAAGAAAAACGTTAATTTGAAAATTAGATTCTGTTTATAAGATTGCTAACGTTGCTTTTCTGTTTGAAGCTCTATTATAGTGTGAGGGGTGAACCAGAAATAATTCAGGTACAGAAATCATTGTGTGACCCCCTCAGAATAGTGTGACGACATTCGTTCATTTGCAGAATTTAAAAGTCATTTTACACAAAGGAAGAAGAATTAAAAAAAAACATTAAAAAAAAACTTCATTCCGTTCAACATTCATTGCGTATTTGTGCATGTAAAATGAATTGGACCGGTCAGTTTTACTTTGCATTCCATGGATGTGTTCATAAGTCATAGTGTGCAATAATAGAAATCAAGTATTCCAACAGAAATATTGGCATCATTTGCGGAATCATTTCTTGTTAAAATTATTACATTTAGTTGAAAATAGGATAACAAGAATTTGTTTAATACAAAAAAAAATGTTGTTAAGTACTTAGTCATTTTCTATTATGAGATAGAAAAAAAACAGTATACTTGTAGTGTATAGGTAGTGGATAAAATATTATGTGGTTAAAAGTTTATATGGTGGGGCGGTGTGAAATGATTCGAGAAAATGCACTGACTATAGTTATCACATAAAGGCAGATTAAATTTTCTTCGACGCAAGATTAATGTGATTAAGTTATAAGTTTCACTCAACAGTCATCTTGGAGATGAAATCGTAGCTCTAATTCAAAATCGCTAATTGTTTTTTTACAAGTATACATGTTTGTTACGCGTGGTGTCATTTGAAGCCAAAACGGCGAGTAGAGCATAGGCTATTTGCTAATACGCAACGACTAACCACGTATGACATCACACATTTCGTTTGATATTTGTCTTAACGCGAAGGAAAGATAATTTTTCAAAATTGAGTCGTCTATTATCAAAGGTGGCAATCTGTGCATCTGGACAAAAAAATGTTATTGATATGTCAATACAGATTGATTTGAATATAATCGTCTCCTTCAAAGAATACGGTTCAAAACCTGCATTAAATAAAGGTTAATACTTAACTTGTTATTTATCTAAGATGTCGTTCAGAAGAGTTTTGTAACTGCCAATGGAATACAAAGTCAATAATTCGTTTTTCTGATTTACCAATAATTGTCCAAAAGTCACATTGCCGGCTTTGATAATAGTCGACTCAATTATCTTCTGGTATAAATCTTCAATAGCGATCGGATGATCACATTCATTTAATTAACATCTCTAAACATTTCTTTTACGGTTTTTCGTTGAATAACAATTTAACATGTTGTTGTACTGAACTTGAGGCCTTAGACTTCTCGTCTCAAGGTGGGTGGCGGCATTTACGTTGTAGATGTCTATGGGCTCCTGTAACCACTTACACCAGGTGAGCCGTGAGATCGTTCAGCCAAATGAGCAAAAAAAAAATTTTTAAAGCAAATGCTAAATAAGCGTTTAAATATGGCTTTTGAATACAGGGAAGATAATTTTTCAAAATTATCTGGTGATATAAATCTTAAATAGCGATCGGACGATCACATTCATTTAATACACATCCCTAATCATTTCTTTTACGGTTGTTTATTGAATAACAATTTAACTTAGAGCAAATGATACATAAGCGGATAAAAAGTGCTTTTGAATACAGGACGTGGCATTGGTATATTTGCTATCCGGAGCTCTGCTGGTGTCACAGAGAGTGGCCGAAGGTGAGGGCGAAGTGCACATGTTCACAGCCTATCCAGGTAAGACAATATCTAGCCTGACATTCCTATGTACTCACCTAGGAACACTACATTCATCCATAGTGCGTGCCAATAAGAATATTAATTGAATAATAACGATTCTTCCCAATGTTGTTTGAAAATTGTCATCGACTAGAATATAAATGTATAACAACATTGACAATAATGGCGTAATTAATCGCATTTAAGATAAGATCTTTAAGCGTTTTAGAGCAAAATCTATTTATTTCTTCTCGGTTAGACATCCACGTTCATTTATTTACAAACCAGAGGGGAGGAATACAAAGGCGAGGTTAACTCGCTAGTTTTCTTCTGACTAATTGCGAGTAGGCTGAAATGTTTATGCGGGGGTTTGGGGTATAGTAGAAGATAGTTAAGTTCACAGACATAGTCACAGAAGTAGAGGAATAGGTAGACCTAAGAAGAAATGGATGGATTGCGTGAAAGACGATATGTGTCAGAGGGGAGTGAGCGAAGAAACGGTATATGATAGAGGAGTATGGAAGGAGAAAACATGTTGCGTTATAGGTGACTGGGAGAAGGGCAGGAGAATGATGATGATGAGTTAAGTTCACAGACATGAGACTCAATGGATAAGTGGACGTTTTATTTGTGCCAGGTGAAGTGGAAGGCGGACTAGCAGTTCTAACGGGCGAGCCAAGTTTCTTTTCTATACGAGCGAAACACTTCTCGAGGATCGGTCTGCTGTCCAAGACCACTGTGTACAGCATCATGAGAGAAAGACCCTCGGTGGTGTTGCACATCGCCAACACCGTCGTGCGGAGACTGTCGCCGTTCGTGCGCCAAGTGGACTTCGCTCTGGATTGGGTGAGACCTTTAAAACAAATATTAGATCAAACACACCGGCTTTTCTTCCAGGAACAACTATTAATGTTGATATAGACAGATGTACTCCCATCCTAATGCTAAGTGTTTGTCCCAGTCCGTAGTTATGGGGACGGGAATGCATACGATCAACTTGACACATACAGTTGCAATTCGGCCTAGTACTGATAGGACACATGAGATTGGTACCGTCTACCTATTTCTATCGCAAAATTTATGCTTTTCGGTTTAACAGATAGATAAAGGCGCCTGGTTTATTTTACAAATAGGGTATTTTTATCATGTTACATGTCGTGACCCGGCCAACGTCGGCCGTGTATATCTGCTGTTATAAATACAAAAGTGTATTCATGAGATTTTGTGATTTTACCTACGAACGGATCTTCCAAACGGCTTGTAGTAAACGAACTACAGAGGGTGATAAGCGACTCTTTATCTTTTATCTTTGGAAACGAAAAGGTGTTTAATTATTTCTGAACTGCAAATTTAACGCAATTGTAGCCGCGGGGCAGGTCCAATAAATAAAGTACTCGAACAAATCATTTTATTACACTTAACTTACTAAAACATTCTATTTAGTTCGGTTTCTCAATCACACAATTCAATCTCTGAAAACCATTGCTCCATCATTCGCATTGGCAATTTTTTTGACACCATGTTCCATTAGTTCCATTTCTTTATCTAAAACGTTTTTATAGCCTTTCTCAACATTGGTATTTTTTCTATTAATATTCCTTCCGTACTTATCCGTAGCTTCGCTGACAGCATTGTAAGCTTCAACGATATTTTTCTCTGCATTACTGAGGCTGTTTCGAAATTCCTGTTGTGAATTCCTGTTCATGGCATTTATATTATTTTTGTTCGTATAAAAATCACCCCTAAATTTATCTATCTGTTCGTTAAAGGTTTTATAACCACTTTGAAAATTCTCATCAATTTTGTCGACGGTATTATGGAAATTACTTTGTGTGTTTTTATTCATAGAATTTACAGAATCTTGTACTTGATTAAAAGTATCTTTGGCTTGGGCGCTTAAGTGTCTCGCGTCGGCAGCTCGACCTAGATTGTCGAAATTTGCTCTTACGTCCAACATCCCTGTGCCATCAGTAGTTTCACTGTGCTTTTCTTCAGTTATATTACGACGAATAGCCACTAGTCGGTCCTTGAACGCGTCGAGAAAGTCAATGAGGTTCGAAACAGGCCTTTTACCTTCTTTGCCGAATATATACTTGTTCAAGCTGTCTCTGATGGGCTTAGTTTTATCCACGTAATCTATTTGAGTTTTGTTATACACTTCTAATGGCTTAAGTTCGTGTCCGACGAATAGTTCTTTGAATGACATCACTCGATATTTCACTCTGTCGATCATGCCTCCAAGAAATCCTCTATCGGATTCATTTTTATTTTTATTTAATGAGAAAAATCCATGAATGTTTTCTCGAAAGCTGTGAATTCTTTCGTGAATATTACTTATGATTCCACCAACGATACCGTCATGCGTTTGAACACTGTCATCTGCTGGTCTTTTGTTATGGTGATCACCCAAGACGAGTCCTTTTCCAAATGACCACATGCTTCCCACTCCATTAGTAATAGATCCCGTAGTGCCCTTCACAGTATCTAGTACGCCGTCAATTATTCCACAATTACATTCCACAATGAATAATAATATAATTAAATGGAATATCTTCATTTTCGAGACGTTCTTGTTAAATCAATTATTTTATAGGAATGAGGAATCTCCGTGTAATGCGTTTGCCTCTTTTGACCTCTTTATGTATTGATAAAACTATCATGTTTATAAACATTTGGTTGGACTCATTATGTTAATTTGTACTTGATAGGTTGACAAACAACCTATGTTGTTTTTTATACTATAGTATTCGCCCAATAATTGGAATTGTACCACAATTACTGATTCGTCAAGATTTAGATTACTACTTTTTGTATTATAAATTTTTTTGTTTTGTTATTCTTATTTGAAAAAAAAACTGACTTTATTTTATTTTATTGCTTAGATGGGTGAACGAGCTCACAGCCCCCCTGGTGTTAAGTGGTTACTGGAGACCATATACATCTACAACGTAAATGCGCCACCTACCTTGAGATATAAGTTCTAAGGTCTCAGTATAGTTACAACAGCTGCCCCGCCCTTCAAACCGAAACGCATTACTGCTTCACGCAGAAATAGGCAGGGTGGTGGTACTAACCCGTGCGGACTCACAAGAGGTCCTACCACCAGTAAATCTGATGACTTTGTATTGTCGTCCCAGGTGTTTCTAGAGTCTGGCCGCGCGGTCTACCGCCAGGACGAGGAGTCGGGGTCTACTTTCATCGTGCTAAGCGGTCGGTTGAGATCTGTCATCACGCATCCGAATGGAAAGAAGGAACTCGTCGGCGAATATGGAAAAGGAGACTTAGTTGGAATAGTATGTTTTTTTCTTAATAGCCAGACGAGCCGTCACCTCTCCGATGGTGAATAGTCATCGTCGCCCATGGACAACAGCAATGCGACTCTTCAAAGCTCGTTTTAAGAACACGTCATCACGCCTGAGGCGCACCTTCAAAAGGAGTTCATTCGAATTGAAGTAAGTAAATACCATTCTATTTACTGAAAGTGTCCTATAGGGTTTTAAATTTTAGTAGAGCCTTGCAGACCATTAGGCTACTTACAGCTATATACAAAATGTTACATATGAAAAAAAATGTACGTTAAATTTTTTTTCATCATTCACGGTATATGAGCTCTTCTTTGGTTTTAAGCAGAGATTAAGTCAGAGAATTTCTTCGTGAAGGACCCCAAAGAATTAACACTATATTTAATCTGGAACGGAAACTGTCATGTCTCTCTTAAAACGAATTCCTAACTTCATTAGTGTAGTCCGTAAAGTTGTTGTTGCAGAACTAAATTATTGTTGACGATGAGTTAGTTGTCAGAGCTGATGACGTCATGAACACGAGTTCGAAGTCTCAACTAGGGTCCGTAAAGTTGTTGTGGTAGAAATAAATTGTGGTTGACCATGAGTTAGCTACTTTCAGACTACACTATAATATAATAGCATAATATAGTATATAGCTCATAGCACAACAATATCGCGCACCATATGTTGTTATGGACACGTTCACACTGCGTACATATATATTTTTGGCTTACTATGTTATACTATATGGCACTGCAATATAGCGTTTTTTTTTTTTTATTGCCCTTGTAGGCAGACGAGCATACGGCCCACCTGATGGTAAGTGGTTACCGTCGCCCATGGACTTCAGCAATGCCAGGGGCAGAGCCAAGCCGCTGCCTAGCGCTTAATACTCTCCACAAGCCTCGTTTGAAGAAGGACATGTCATAGCGCTCGGGAAACACCGTGGAGGGAGCTCATTCCATAGCCGGATGGTACGTGGCAAAAAAGACCTCTGGAAACGCACTGTGGATGACCGCAGTGGCTCCAGGTAGTATGGATGAACTCTACTCCGGTGGCGGGCGGTGCTATGGTAAAAACGAGAGCGTAGTCTAAAGGCAGCTTTAGTTGTCAGAGCTGATGACGTCACGAATATGAGTTCGAAGTCTCAGTTAGGTGACCGTAAGACGTGGCTTCCTCCGAGTTCAAATTTATTAACATTTATTTTCGATTTTTTAAATGGATTTTCTATCAAAGCGTATATTATTAGTTTTTTTTGAAACTATTTTTTTTTCAACGTTTGTAATTTGCATTCGCCTGCGTCACAGGTGGAGATGGTGACGCAGACTCGTCGGAGCACAACGGTGATGGCGGTGCGGGACTCGGAACTGGCGAAGCTGCCCGAAGGCCTCTTCAACGCCATCAAGCTGAGGTTCCCGGTCGTCGTGACTAGGCTGATCAACTTGCTGGGACACAGGATTCTAGGTAGCTAAGTCTGTTTCGTCTCGATAATGCTGGGGCTACATTAGCGGGCCACGACGAATATTCGTGTTATCGCGCAGAGTGTGGCCGAGTAGATCGTTGCAGCGTGTAGTATTTTTTTTTAAACGGTTTTATGACTTGGTAACTAAGATCTTTAAGTCATGTCTTATTTTAATTTATATTCTTATTTTTCATGAAAAATGATAATATGAAATGAAATGAGATGATATGGGATGAAATATAATCTCAGTAAAATGGTGGTCATTTACTGAGATTTTTTTCAGTGGACTTTTTGGAGGATCCCGAGAAGTTACGTTCAGCGGCTTTGTTTGATCTTCCTACATTTGTGTACTTTCACAGATAGTAAACAGTTAATAAACCACCGTTCTTACACATTTAGACCTGAACACTAAATAGACAGCATAAAACAAATCACTCAACTTCACTCCTCGCGTTCCCACCAAAAAGTTTGGAACCACGGATCGTTTGGAACCTCTGGGTCTGCGGAGGAACTTCGCTTCTCTCTGCATTTTGTACTGTATGTTCCATGGGGAGTGCTCTGAGGAATTGTTCGAGATGATACCGTCATCTCGTTTTTACCATCGCACCTCCCGCCATCGGAGCAGAGTTCATCCATATTATCTGGAACCGCTGCGTTCATCGACAGTGCGTTTCCAGAGGTATTTTTTGCTATAGAATGAGCTCCCCTCCACGGTGTTTCCCGAACGCTATGACATGTCCTTCTTCAAATGAGGCTTGTGAAGAGTATTAAGCGGTAGTTAGCGCCTTGGCTCTGCCTCTGGCATTGCTGAAGTCCACGGGTAACCACTAACCATCAGGTGGGCCGTGTGCTCCTCTGCCTACAAGGGCGATATAAACAAAAAAATTTCTGTTTCCGTCATGAAGGTTCCTGGCAGAAGCCGACGCGGAGTCTGGGCGGCGCGCCCGCGATCGACTCGAGGCCGTTGCAGCACAACTTCAGCACGGTGGCCGTGGTGCCCGTCAGCGACGACGTGCCCCTCACCGCCTTCACCTACGAGCTGTACCACTCGCTCTGTGCCATAGGTGGGTACTTGAATAATGGATCCCTTTGCTTAGTGCGAGTTTTTTAACGTTCTCGATCGCGTAAAAGTTGTAGTGTCTTTCCAACGGTATTGTTTTCTTGTTTTCTATTTGGCACTAGCTGACCCGCAGACTTCGTAGTGCCTCAATCGATAAATAAAAGACCTAAACTTTTGTATAATAAAATAAACTTAAAACAAACAAAAGGAACCGTCCGACGGGGGGGACATCAAATGAAAAACAAAATTGTTATTTTTATTTAATTCCGGGCATTTTCATTCATTTATTTACCTTTTAAACCTTCTCTAGACTTCCACAAATAATTCAAGACCAAAATTAGCCAAATCGGTCCAGCCGTTCTCGAGTTTTAGCGAGACTAACGAACAGCAATTCATTTTTATATAAATATAGATGACTTGGTAATACGAGCAGTTGCGTGTCTTACTTCAGTCCTCCTTGAGAATTTTAAACCTTTATTTTGCAAAGATATGATGAATCAAAGAGATTCAAGGTGGAATATACTAATTGGAAGACTAACTCATGATCCCATACGTCTCACACCGTGGTACTGGACTTCCAAATCTCAATTTTATGATACTGTAACATCCTTTATAATCAGTGTGCTTAATGCAAGTTATTTAACGTTTTCTATCGCTAAAAGCTAACTCGAATTTGTATGCAGTTAGAACAGCGCCCCTAGCGGCGAACAAAGGCAAACGTGACAACTCCATAAAAAATTGAGTTAACTTTTACGCTATCGAGAACGTTAAAAAACTCGCACTAAGCACATACATCTGTACACAGTTGCAATAACCTAAATAGCGTAATATCACGTAGGCAGAGTGTTGCTGTGAGAAATCAATACTAAACCCATTTTCGTCAATAAGTACAAAATCATTACAAATCATAATTACACGTGACGACATTTGGGGCTAAAGTAAATAACGAGTTAATCTATACATATAAATAAAATTGGGAGTATTTGTTTGTAGTATTGAAATAACAGCTTTTTACTACATACATATGAATATATATACGGTACATACACCAAAATAACATTTTTTACAATTTTTTCTGTCTGTCTGTTTGTTCCGGCTAATCTCTGGAACGGCTGGACCGATTTTGACGAGACTTTCACTGATAGGTAGCTGATGATATAAGGAGTAACTTTTTTAAGACTAACTATTGTCGTACCGCGGCGTTCCGCGGCGTACAATAGTCGCGGGTAACGTCGCGGGGCTCAGCTATCAATAATAAAATTTAATGTTTCCGAAGTGAAGTGAGGCCGGGTCGCTAGTTGATTATATATTAACCAATACACAACGACTATCTATCTTTGACAACACGCGTTGTGATGCGTATTTATCTTGACATTACAAATATTAGATTTAATTTTGTGTGCTTAAAATAAAAAAGGCATTTTTAATTTAATCACGTTACTTGAGACCTCTTCTTGACCGACTTCAAAAAAGAGGGATGTTTTCAGTTCGGTTATAATTTGATTTACAAATCTGTCGAATGTTTTCCTCGCGTTCTTCGGCTGTCTACGGAACCATTTATCTTAGAGCATTCAAAGGAACAATACTTCGACAGGTCCAACGGTCCGTCTCACTTCGGATGTCATAAGGAAACTGCTCGGTCTAACGATAATGGATCCGAACAACGAGTACAGACTGAGCTCGTGGCTGGCACAACAAGAAGACAAACACAAGGTTCAGTGTTAAAAAGCTTTCTTCCTTTAATTTGACTAACTTTGTGGTGGAGTAGTTAGCGTCCCTGACTATTGCGTCGAGGGTCGTGGGTTCGATTCCCACTTTTTTTTATTGCTTAGGTGGGTGGACGAGCTCACAGCGCACCTAGTGTTAAGTGGTTACTGGAGCCCATAGACATGTACGACGTAAATGCGCCACCCACCAAGTTCTATGGTCTCAACTATAGTTACAACGGCTGCCCCGCCCTTCAAACCGAAACGCATTATTGCTTCACGGCAGAAATAGGCAGGGTGGTGGTACCCACCCGCGCGGACTCACAAGAGGTCCTACCACCGTTATTTCTGTTCTTCTTTCTTAGAGACGTGTAGTGTCTTCATCATAATCAGCTCACGGCCGTCACTCACAAGAAAGATCTGAAGCTTCCGAGAAGCTCGAGAGGCACCAGTCGTTTTACAAAAGTTCCAATGTATCGGTTTCGTCGGCAGGTGGCGCTGTACCAGTGCGACCCGAGCCTCACGCAGTGGACGCAGCGCTGCATCCGACAGGCCGACTGCATACTGATCGTGGCGCTCGGCGACAAGCAGCCCAGCATCGGGAAGGTGAGACCCGAATAGCGATTTTTTTCCCTACCTATGCTGTGTTTTGGTGCGGGCCGTATGGGCCGGTTGCTGATGATAAAGAAAAGTAGTGCTTTGTGCTGCAATACGGTTTATTTGTATGTTTATACACTTGAGTAGTAACAGTAGTTTTATTTTTCCAAATGGAAAGGCAAAAGTATCATACCATACAAGCTAATTTTTATATTTTATTTTTTGAAATATGATACTATGAAATGAAATGAAGTTGATTAATATGAAACATGGCATGAAATGAAATGAGATGATATGGGATGAAATATAATCTCAGTAAAATGGTGGTCATTAACTGAGATTCTTTCAGTGGACTCTTTGTCCGTTCAGCAGCTTTGTTTCATTTTCCCACATTTGTGCTCTCTCTCTCTCTCTCTCTCTCTCTCTCTCTCTCTCTCTCTCTCCCTCTCTCTCGCTCTCTCTCTCTCTCTCTCTCCCCTCTCTCGCTCTCTCTCTCTCCCCTCTCTCGCTCTCTCTCTCCCCCCCCCTCTCTCTGTCTCGCTTTCTCTCTCTCTCTCTCTATTTTTAGAAATTGTAATTGTGATGAAGGAGCTATGTACGAAGAAAAAGTACAAGTAACAAAAGTTTGTTGCCCGTTTTCTCAAAATTGACAAATTGTATCATATCCCCTTGTTCACATGTTACATAGTATCTTACAACATTAGAACTTTCTTTTGAGTAGTGCCGCCCAAAACACGTAATTACGGATCCTCCAGATCCATTTACGGTGCTTTTAGGTATCACAAGCATCGGTCACCGTGCTCGCCGAACCCGTCGCTTGCGAGGAAGGGCTCGAGGAACGAATTAACCCACAGACACAGCCCACTGAGTTTCTCGCCGGATCTTCTCAGTGGGTCGCGTTTCCGATCCGGTGGTAGATTCTGCGAAGCACGGCTCTTGCTAGGGCCAGTGTTAGCATCACTCCGGTTTGAGCCGAGTGAGCTCACCTACTAGTTAAGGTTACGCTGATATAGCCTCTCAAGGCTATCAGCTTAGGTAGGAAAAAAAAGAGTAGTGTATGTAACACATGTTTTTTTTTATAATTTTTCTTCACAGATCGAGAAGGAAATCGAACGTCTAGCCATACGAACTCAGAAGGAGCTAGTTCTTCTGCACCGGGAGGGCGGACCGAACCCCTCCGGCACCGTGCACTGGCTCAACATGCGCACCTGGGTCAGCCAGCACCACCACGTGAGGTGTCCGCATCGAATGTTCACAAGGAAAAGCCAGTACCGGATTGTGAGTTCATATAAATTTGTTTGTTTGTTGTTTATTATTAAGCTTGGGTTGGCGATGATCCGTGGCCTACTATTGAAATGCTTCATCTCTTTTTATATGTTCACATTTATTAAGTACAAATTAATATAAAAAAGATGAGTCTAAGGTATAAATTATATATAAGAGCAAATACAAAAAAAAACAAATTTTTGTTGGGGAAGAATAGTATGACTTAACAATTGATAAATCTTAAATTTGTGTGTGTAGTGCGAAAATCTTATTATCTCTTTCGCACTCCCGCTCCGTGCATTAACAGGCGTCTCTTTTTGTTATTTATCTATTGATAATTATTGACCATCAGACTGAATGTTTCAACATTGTCGTTTCTAAACGGTTTTTTCTTATTGTTTAAATGGGTGGACGAGCTCACGGCCCACCTTGTGTTAAGTGGTTACCGGAGCCCATAGAACATCTACAGCGTAAATGCCGCCACTATCTACCTTGAGTCATGAGTTGTAAGGTCTCACTTTTAACAGTATAACGGCTGCTTTACGCTTCAAACCGAAACTCGTTACTGTTTCAGCTCAGAAATAGGCAGGGCGGTGGTACCCACCCAAGCCGACTAACAAGAGGTCCTACCATCAGTAATTGAGCTGTACTTGGAGCTGGACATTTCCTCGTTAAGATTTCATTTTTAATTGAAGTTTTGAGTGAAGCATTGTCTTGTTATAGAGCGAGCTGTACAGCAAGGTGCTGATGTCTGAGGCCAACGTGCACTCGGACTTCAGTCGGCTGGCGCGCTGGCTCACCGCCACCGCCGTGGGGCTGGTGCTGGGGGGCGGAGGCGCGCGGGGGGCGGCGCACGTCGGCATGATCCGCGCCATACAGGTAGGTACCCAGTGTTGCCAGGTTGCATCGAAAAAAATACACTGTTCCGCATGTAAAATTACAGTAGATTTGTAGGAAATTACAGTAAATCATAAAACTCATTAGTGGTTTAATTTAGTAAAGTAAAAAATTATTAAAGTGGTTACCGTCGCTAATGGATCGTCGTCAATGCCAGGGGCACAGCCAACCCGCTGCCTACCAATAGACCAGATTCTTGGTTGGGTACATACTCAGAATCAGAATGCCACTGTACTGATATTATTTCTAGCAGCAAATCTGATGCGTCAGTTCTGTGGTCTTGTGGACGCACGAACTACAAACGCACCAGACAGTCTTGTTAATTATGAGTTATCAAGGTTATAATAGGCTAGTTTTACTATTACTCACGCTACGAATACATTACAGATTTCGTGGTCACGGATGATTTAAGGTGTTCTTTGTCGACATCAGAATATTTTGTAAACTACCGTCAATTTTTTCTATAAAAAAATCCTTGAAATTTCCTTTTTGATCACACATAGTGCTTAGAGATTTGGTAGTTTGTTTGACTAAGGGTCTTAGCGCCCTATAATCAGCTTGTTTCAAATAAATGATTTATTTTATAATCTTGTGATACAGGAAGCAGGAATCCCAATAGATATGGTGGGGGGCGTCAGCATCGGCGCGTTTATGGGCGCCTTGTGGTGCATGGAGAGGAACATCACCACTGTCACGCAGAAGGCCAGGGAATGGTCCAAGGTGAGTGAAAACGTGAACTAATATCATCAATGGACTGTGAGCTGATGAAATTGAACTCTGTCTTATGGACGTGGCCTAACCCCCAAGGTTAGGTCTTTTGTTACACAGCCTTAGTCTTGATTATATTTTATGATACTTTATCAATTTATCAGAGTGAGTTGGTGCCTTCTAGACGTTTGTGACGTCATAACTTGGTTTACATTTATTAGGTAACTAGATGTACCCGTCCGCTTCGCTGGCCATTTAAAATTAACATTATTATTTTTCACCCCCACAAAGATTCTCATCATTAACGCCCCCGCAACTGGTGCAGGGAGTCCAATACTCATATAAATATAGCCTATCCATTAAGTACATGTATTCTCTACATGGATACCAAGTTTCAAGTCGATCGGATGCATGGTTCAGTAGTTATAACGGAACATCCCTAAAAACCACTGTAGATTTATATATTAGTATAGATACATTTATGAAGTTTTTTTGAGTGTGACAGTCATTCATTCATTCATTCATCACAAATAATAGTACTAGAAAATAGTTAAGTTCATGAACCATTCACTTTAAAAATTATTTTTTGTTTATCGCACACATCTCCGGAACTATTGACCAGATTTTCATGTAGTTTTTTTAGTTGGGTAGGAAAAGTCGAATCAAAATCGGCTTTTGGAAACAAGGTAAATCTGCACGCGGAAAGTTAACTTCTGCGATGTGAAATTATGGATTGAAAAAAAAATGTTGATGCCACAATTATATATATATATTTTTTTTATAGAAAATGACGCAATGGGGTAGGCAGCTTCTAGACTTGACGTACCCAGCCACGTCGATGTTCTCCGGGCGACAGTTCAATGCCACCATCAGGGCGACGTTTGGCGAGGTTCACATCGAGGACCTGTGGCTGCCATACTTCACTGTCACCACTGACATTAGTTCCAGTTGCATGAGAATCCACAGGCACGGTAAGACAATCTTAGCTGCTTTAGAAAAACAATTACCATATATGAGTCGACTATTATCAAAGCCGGCAATGTGACTTTTGGACAATTATTGGTAAATCAGAAAAACGAATTATTGACTTTGTATTCCATTGGCAGTCACAAAACTCTTCTGAACGACATCTTAGATAAATAACAGGTTAAGTATTAACCTTTATTTAAAGCAGGTTTTGAACCGTATTCTTTGAAGGAGACGATTATATTCAAATCAATCTGTATCGCCATATCAATAACATTTTTTTGTTCAAATACACAGATTGCCACCTTTGATAATAGACGACTCATATACTGTATTTTGGTCTTCCAAAGCGTCCGCATTCGTGTTACGTTTGATTTTTTAAAGGGATTTTATGACCTGGTAACTAAGACCTTTAAGTCATGTTTTATTTTTAATTTATATTCTTATTTTTATGAAAAATGGTAATATTGAGTGAAATTAAATAAAATTAAATGAAGATGATTAATCAACTAGGTTGAAATTAAACGCAATGAGATGAGATGATATGGGGTGATATAAAATCACAGTAAAATGGTGGTCATTTACTGAGATTATTCAGTGGACTTTTTGGAGGATTCCGAGAAGTTACGTTCAGCGGCTTTGTTTCATTTTCCCACATTTGTGCACTTTCACAGACACTAAACAGTTAATAAACCACCGTCATTACACATTTGAACCTGAACAAACACTAAATAGACAAAACAAATCACACAACTTCACTCCTCGCGTTCCCGCCAAAAAGTCCTGTTTCGTTTGAAAGGAAATTTGTTGAAACTACCCGCGCGCCCTCTGTCTCCCTTTGATGGTAACATACCATTTCCCTTCCCTGACCAGCTGTATAAAGTACAACTGAAAAAAATAAACAGACAGCAATGATACTTAAGCCTTATGCTTCTGTGATCTTGTTCTAGAATAGCACTGCCCTATATAAGTTTGATAGTACAAAATCTGCCCCGCCCTTCAAACCGAAATAGGCAGGGTGGTGGTATCTACCCGTGCGGACTCACAAACAGGCGCTATCATCAGTAAGCGTAAAAGGTTCTAAGAGATTTACTGTAGGCGGCAAAGTTTTTGGAGTATTTATACCAGCATACTGCGACTGTCAAAAGGTATTTACCGATGCTGTAGTGTATGGTGAACTGGCTTTGTAGTCATGCATTCCCGTCGGAACTGTGAGAAAGCCTTTTACTGGTAGTACGACCTCTTATGAGTCCGCATGGGTAGATACCACCACCACCATGCCGTGAAGCAGTAATGAGTTTCGGCTTGAAGGGTGGGGCAGCCGTTGTAATTATACTGAGACCTTAGAACTGATATCTCAAGTTGGGTGGCGCATTTACGTCATACATGTCTATGGGCTCCAGTAACCACTTTACACCAGGTGGGCTGTGAGCTCGTCCACCCATCTAAGCAACAAAAAAAAAGCCATAATACAATACAATTAAGATTACGTCCTCACGTCTCATGCTGAGAATTCGTGTTGTGATTGTCTGTGAGCTCCAGTAATCACTTCACATCGGTTGAACCGCGAATGAGTTCGTTCACCCATTAACGCATTAAATTCGTTATTTATTGCTATGAATTGAAGGTAATTTTAGTAATAAATTATTTCAACACAATTATCATTCTCAGTATATTTAAGGCATTAAGATAAAATTTAATGTTTGTTTGTTTGTCAATAAAGTTCTACATTACTCATTTGATTGGGTGTTTTTTATATTTTTTTATATACTAATGTAAAAGTAAATTGCTGTTAATGTAAAGTCATTTAATTTGATTGTAAACTTTAGGAAATCATCTAATTTTACAGTTTTTATTGAGAAATCTTTCAGAATTTGCGCCTAGTTTGTTGAAAAATGCATTCAAATAACTGTGTATTCACTATTTAGACTAAAAGTAATTTAAACTAGTGTGGTTAATAAATACGAATGTGGACGCTTTTGTACTAACAGGCACATATAATAATAATAAATTAATAAACAATAAAAATGTGATGTAAAATTGTCAAATTGAAAACATTATTATTTTTATAAAACTTACCGTAGCTTCCTTTTTCAAATTTTAGAATATACATACAAGTAATTGAAATTGAAATATGTTTCGTAACGAAATGTGACTTAAATTGGTTTTGAATTAAGTGATTAAACCAACAATTTTTTGAACATGAAATATTCAAAGCATTTTTAACATATAACGTAGCTATATTTTTTATAACATAAAAAAATACTACCTGCCGTCACATTGTTCATAGATTTAATTTGTTCAATTTGTGTTATTGTTTAATTTGTTTTCATTTTGTAAATATAATTTCTACACGTAATAATCGTTTCTGATTATTATTGACCCTAGGATTACATTTATGTTATGGTCCTGACAGGTCCTTACGGATACACATTAATATCAAATACACGAAGACTCTAAATTCCAAATATATTCAACATCCACATAAACAAAGACTATCTGGATGGTGTAAAAGCAGCTTAGTGAATGTATTTTTTTATCAAGCATTACTTATGGCGAAAACACAGACAATATTATATCACAGATTTTTTTACATTTAGAACTAAGATTTTGAGAAAGCCGTTAGTCACTTTAAAGAACAATTCAATTTTGTATTTTTACAAAATTAAATATAGCAATTTAAATTGATTATGTATATTAATATATAATAAGTTCTTTTTATAGAAAGTTCCTTTTTTTTTAGACTGGTTTTTAAGGTGACTAAAGTATTTTAATTGGGACGTATCAAATTAGTAGAGTTATCAATCCGAATAAATAATTACCACAACACATTCATGGACAGGATGTAAAAAAAAAGAAGTATTTCTATTTATTTACTTTAATAACGCTTTGCACTGTACCTACTAACTCAATTATAATTTGTTGTTTTACGTTGTTAATGTTTTGTTCTTTCGTTTTGTCAGTGTTGCATGAACTGTAGTTAAGATGTGCTGCGGACCAGCCGTTTGTTTGTAACACTGTTCGTTGACATTGCCGATACGATTACGATGCGACATTGAACATATTTTTGGGACTATGCGGATATGACTTCGAAAAATGCTTGGAAAATAAATAGTATAGAGAATCAGTTTTTGAGTAAATCAAACGTAACGATTGTGCTTTGCTGAAATTCTGTGTTTAAAAAAACTTTTTTTTTAAAGTAATGTTTTGGTAAATTATTTCTATGCTTCTTTAAAGTCGTATTCGTATTTCATTCATAACAAATCAACAAAATAAAAATAAAAATTTTTTTTTTTAATGATGCGACTGCGTTAATCTGCGGATTTGTCAGTGTCACGATACGATCGTAAATATCTATGGTGACAACGACGTCATTTTGGTTCATAGAGTTTTTTTTTTTTTCGTGGATACCGCTACAGTGTTTTTTATGTACCATAAACAACCACACTCACTTGCATATTTGTGTACGTCTTTTTTTATACACATCGTGTTTTTTTATATATAAATTACATTTGGTGTCCGGAGTATGTTACTATGAAGTTTTTTTTTTTTACGAAATCCGACATTCGCTTTAGGGTTGCCATTACTTACATTTGAGATAGAAACGGCTCTAATGATTGGTTTACCTGTAACGCTTACGTCATGTCGAGAGATATTTTTTTTCAATTGTAAATCGTTGCTTTTAATTTTCGGGTTGTATATTCACAAAATCACGCATATTCACGCATTGGTCCATCTATCTCTTCACTTGTAATGCATGAGTGTGGTTCTTAGAAATTTCATTTTTTTTCATCCCTGTAGCAATTATGTAGAGATTAAACAGTTGTAATCGGCTAACTAAATGGATTTTCCAAAATGGAATTTACTTCGAAGAAATTAATTCCATGATATTAAGCAATTAATTCTGTACAAGCACACAATCTATATGCACATTATGTACTGCCTATGCTTTTACAAGAAAAATATAATACAATAAAGTGACAACGATAAAACTCATTGCATTATCGACCTTGATGCTTTGTGTTACGGTCTACATAATTAACATTGTTTTTGTGTAATAGCTCGTTAGTTATCCCGTATGTATGTATGCATGTAAAATACTGTAGCGGCGATTTTCACACGTTTTCATGTTTGGTTGTCAATTGATTCGCTCACGCCTATTGGGCTGTAAGAAGTGCCTAAAAAAAATTTATTTATTTATTTATTTACTTACTGTTCTCTTTCATCATCTCTTTCCATGGATTGTGTTGTTTCGCATAACACGCCGTTTAGTATTTTACTAATCACTCAGCACCAATTTCATGACATTGTCTCAAAGTATCACAATAACGTCAGTTCTGTCTGGATGTCTTTGAGCTCCAACATTCAAACCAGGCTATAGTTTAATTGGTGGAATGCGCTCGGTTTTACGATGAGTGGTATTCAAACGAGTAAAAACGGTGTATGTGATATTTTTTAATCGACGTTCCACCGGTTAAGTGATTCGGGTCAGTTTGAGTATTGTCTGATGAGTGTCGCGCGACGCAGGTTCGCTGTGGCGCTACATACGCGCTTCGATGTCGCTGAGCGGATACATGCCCCCGTTGTGCGACCCGGTAGACGGCCACCTCCTATTGGACGGCGGTTACGTCAACAACCTGCCAGGTAAACCAATCAGAGGGCGCGGGACTATGCGTGCGTGCGCGTAGGCTGAGTGTAAATACGTCAAGACATAGCTTAGCTTTTAAATAGCGCATAGCTTCTTTTTGAGCTTATAATTTTGAAAACCCTTAAAATATCGGAGCTATTTACACTCAGCTTCGAGTTCAAAGGTAAGTGATGGCGAACCGGTACCCTTCTGAACGACGGGCCCGGTTCAGGTATACTGTGGCGGCTCTGTCGCGCTTCGATGAGCATAGCCGGTATATTCCCGCCGATCTGCGACCCCATGGACGGACATTTACTGCTCGACGGGTGCTACGTCAACAATGTACCAGGTAGTGTATAGGGGTTTCTTTTGTTTGCTCATGTATTTACCTAACCCGATCCTGTGGGCCGAATGGTAAACAGTCGACGCCCTAAACACGTCATTGCGTATCCTTCCGATCCATTAACTGTGCTTTTAGGTACCTCAAGCACCGGTCACCGTCCCTGCCAAAGTCGTCGCTTGCGACGAAGGGCTCGACGAGTAAATTAACCCATAGACACAGCCCACTGAGTTTCTCACCGGATCTTCTCAGTGGGTCGCGTTTCCGATCCGGTGGTAGATTCTACGAAGCACTGCTCTTGCTAGGGCCAGTGTTAGCAACACCTTCGGTTTGAACCCCGAGACCTCACCTACACCCTAGGGGGAAGCTGAAATAGCCTCTCAAGGCCATTAGCATAGGTAGGAAAAAAAATTACCTTGAAAACTTACTTGTCTTTGAGCATAGACGTCTCACAAATTCATTGGTGTCAATGGTTACCAGAAATCTTATAGACACCCTAGTGTAAGTCCCGCCGCACACTATCGGGTCAATGTCTTAATTGCATTATCCTTCAAACTGGAACGTTCGCTTGATTTGTGGATGACGTAATCTGGTATCGTTTAAAAAAGTTTGTCATGTTCTTTAGGGTTATTTGTGGATGGACCGTTGATTCGTATACCTGAAGAAATATTTGAATAGCCCGCTAAATGTTCCTATGTAGATCTTTATTGATTATGAAAGATTTTGAATCCCGGTGACGCTCCGTCGGAACTATCGTGAACTTTATGTAGAATATATAAGGTACATTTTACAATTTGTTCTGACAGCTACGTACACATACTTAGAAAAGAAAACTATGTACTGGCCAAATCGGTTGAGCGGTTCTCGTGTTATACTTCGTCATATATTTGGCAATTGGTATATACAATTCAAGGATTAGACAAAGAATATTCAATAAAATTGTTGGAACACGTGTTGTGACGATTATACTGTTTTTGATATGCAGCTGACGTTATGAGGTCTCTGGGAGCGAAACACATATTGGCCATCGACGTTGGATCTCAAGATGATACAGATCTAACGAACTACGGAGACGACTTGTCGGGCTGGTGGTTGCTTTGGAAAAGGTGCAGTATTAAACTTTAAGATCATTTATTTTATGACCACTGAAAATTTAATGGGATATGGTACTGGGGTATTGTGAACTCACATGGATAGGTACCACTACCATATTTATGTGTATCACTAATGGGTTCCGGTTCGATGTGTCTGCCGTTAAATAATACAATTGAGACTTCGACCTCATGTCTCAAGACGGGTCATGTCGCGGGGGACATGTCGCAGGTAAGGTGCCAGATTTGCCTTAGGATAGTTCTGTTGTTTATTATGTTATTCCAACGGTATTGTTTTCTTGTTTTTTATTTCGCATGACTTGGTAATAGAAGCAGTTGCATGTCTTACTCCAGTCCTCCTTGAGATTTGTAAACCTTGATTTTGCAAAGATGTCAATCAAAGTGGTTCGAGCTGGAATATACTAATTAGGAGACTAACTCACGTATGGGATATACATGTCACACCGTGGGACTGAAATTCAAAATCTCAATTTTATGGTACTGTAGCATCCTTTATAATCAGTGTACATAGTGCGAGTTTTTTAATGTTTTTGATAGCGTAAAAGTTAACTCGATATTTATAATTATGCAGTTGGAACAGCGCCCCTAGCGGCAAACGTAGGCAAACGCTGCGACTTCATACAAGTTAGAGTTAACTTTTACGCTATCGAGAACGTTAAAAAACTTGGCCTAAGTACACTGGGCGTATGTAGACTTTGCGGCAAACACAGACATGATGAATTTGATTTCGAAGTCGACGCTTTTGTCAACAGATGGAACCCGTTCACGACGCCGGTCAAAGTTCCTAATCTGCCCGACATACAGAGTCGATTGGCTTACGTGTCTTGCAACAGACAGTTGGAGGTGAGCTTAAAATTCGCCACTAAAAAAAAACATTGGTAACAATGGGCGACGGTAACCACTCACCATCAGGTGGGCCGTATGCTCGTCTGTCTACAAGGGCAATAAAAAAAAAAAAAAAAAAAACCAATTAATTTTGCTAGAAATGCAAAGCTGGTGGTAGGACTTTTTGTGAGTCGGCACACGTCACCCAATACCCGTGAAGCAGTAATGCGTTTTGGTTTGAAGGGCGGGGCAGCCGTTGTACTTTTAAAACTGATACCTTAGAATTCATGTCTCGAGGTAGATGGCTTTTACGTTGTAGATATCTATGGGCTCCAGTAACTACTTAACACCAGGTGGGCCGTGAGCTCGTCCAACCATATAAGCAATAAGAAAAAAATATATTTAGAAACGACATTGTTGAAACATTCAGTCTGATGCCCGGAGTCAATTATCAATAGGTAAATAACAAAAAGAGACGCCTGTTAATGGACGGAGTGGGAGTGCGAAAGAGATAATAAGGTTCTCGCACTACGCATACACATTTAAGATTTATCAATTGTTAAGTCATACTATTCTTCCCCAAAAATATCTTTATTTGTTTTTGTATTTGCTTTTAAATATAATTTATACTTTAGACTCGGTCTTTTTGTATTAAATTGTTCTTATTATATGTGAACACATAGGCAGAGATGGAGCATTTCAATAGTAGTAGGCCAGGGATCATCGCCAACCGAAGGCATCAAAATAAACAGCAACGTTTATATGAGCTCACAATCCGATACTGGCTTTTCCTTGTGAACATTCGATGCGGACACCTCACGTGGTGGTGCTGGTTGACCCAGGTGCGCCAACCCAACCCAATTTTACCATAATGTGTATCAAAATATCAGGAAGTGAAGAAATCGGATTACTGCGAATACATCCGTCCCCCGATCGACGCGTACAAGACGCTGCAGTTCGGTTCGTTCGACGAGATACGCGAGGTCGGCTACCGGCACGGCGCCGCCTACTTTGAGGGGCAGCGGCGCGGCGGGGGCGGGGGGGTCAGCGGGGCCGCCGCCTCTGACCGCAAGGGACCCGAGCAGCAACCGGCGCTCACCGAGTAACTACCGACATACTATACTCTATATAGACCTCTAGCTCTAACACTAGAATACTTAATCTTAATGTTTACGAGTTGACGCCGTTTATTTATGGCCTTCGAGAGTAAAGAGACAATTTTTTTTGCCGTAATTCTTGCCGTAATTTGTTTGGGAGTTGTTTGAAAACAATGCGGTGATTTTTACTGGGGGTAGGACCTCTTGTGAGTCCGCACGGGTAGGTACCACCTGTCGTGAAGCAGTAATGCGTTTCGGTTTGAAGGGCGGGGCAGCCGTTGTAACTATACTGAGACCTTAGAACTTATGTCTCAAGGTGGGTGGCGCATTTACGTTGTAGATGTCTATGGGTTCCAGTAACCACTTAACACCAGGTGGGCTGTGAGCTAGTCCACCCATCTATGAAATAAATAAAAAAGAGTAGGGACCCCGGTAACTGTACTCGTCGAACTCTGCAAAGACTTCATTTTTTTTAAGGAATTTTATGACCTGGTAACTATGACCTTGTCATGTCATGTCATGTCATGATAATTAATTTGAGACATTAATCAACTGGGATGAAATTAAATGAAATGAGATGAAATATAATCTCAGTAAAATGGTGATCATACACGGTGATTTCTTCAGTGGACTTATTGGATAATCCCGAGAAGTTACGTTCAGCGGCTTTGTTTAATTTTCCCACATTTGTGCACTTTCACAGGTGTTAAACTGTTAATGAACCACCGTTATTACTCATTTCAACCCGAAGAAGCACTAAATAGACAAAATAAAACAAATCACACAACTTCACTCCTCGCGTTCCCGCCAAAAAGTCTCTTGTCGACATCAGAATATTCTGTAAACTACCATCTATTTTTTCTAGAAATCGTTCTTCATCAATTTTTTCGTTGTTTCCTAGCACCTATAACCACTGAGGATACTCCGTGAATGCGGCTTCTCAGTTAATGTTAAACCACTAAAGTCTTTATGGCCTATCTAGCTCCCCCCTAATTAATAAAAATCGATAATAATCGCATCTAATCGATATCCACAGTTACACGTTCACGGACTTAGCTCAGATGGTGTGCTCGGTCCGCACCGGTCGCGACGCCGACAACGATTCCTCCTCGTCTTCAGACTACGAGGAGGATCAGAGGCACTTCGAGGGGTACGCCAGCGAGCCCAGCGCTGGGATACTGGAGGTGAGGAATCTCAATTTTTCTGTAGTCTCTGCACAGTAACGAGATTAGGATTTGTGTGTTTTAATGACGGTCGTTAATAAATTGTATTGAACGCTTTTTAATAAAACGAGTATCGGTAACGGGGATTCAAACAAGGGTGGTGTGTAAAATTTTCAAAAAAAAAAATACAGCTATACTCTTGATAATATTTAATGTGTCAGGAAATTATTAAGCACTACCACTTGACCTTTAACTTTTTTTTTTTTACAAGGGCAATAAAAAATAAAATCTCGAATTTTGTTTTCGAACACCCTGTATATTAGCATTGTGAAGAAAAGATATGATTAGAAAAAAAAACTTAGAGTAAATCTTGGCCAATTTAGTGAAGTAGAATGTGTGTTATATAATCAGTTTCTTAGTGCAGAGTCCAAAAAAAAAAATTGAATTAGATGTGAAATGTTTGTAGGTATGTTGTAAATATTGCATCAAATTGATTGAACCTTCATGCCCCGGTCGTATCTCGATAAGTTTAAAATCCGTTTGTCCTTTTCCCTTTTTTTAAATACGAATCGCCGACTTAACCTAATAGGTGTATGGTTCTAATAAAGAATAAAAAAAAAAAAAAGATTATTTATAGTTAATTATATAATAGTTTGTACAAACTGTTGTCTATTGGCTCTGGTCAAAATCTTCTTTTATTACGTAAAAGGATACTTATTTGTTTGTTAAATTTTGTTATATTTTCCTTACATTTTTTTCACTTTCGGTGATGCCGGTTAAGAAATCACTGTTTTTCGAACCTGAAGAAATACATTTAATAATAAAATTATTAAATAAAACTGTTCATACAATTTCGCTCCTCGCTTTCTCGACAAAAACGTCCCTATTATATTAATATATAAATCTACAGTGTATTTTACGGATGTTCCGTTATAACTACTGAACGATGCATCCGATTGACTTGAAACTTGGTATCCATGTAGAAAATACATGTACTTAATGGATAGGCTAATATTTATATGAGTGTTGAACTCCCTAATAATAATGACAATAAATAATAATGTTAATTTTAAATGCCCAGCGAAGCGGGCGAGTACTGCTAGTAACTTATATTTTTGTGATGATACGTTCTCACTGTGAGCGATTTCACTGCAGATGTCTTCAAGCATTGAGGACGCGGCCGCCTGGATAAGTGACACCGAATTGGTGGGCAAATATTGAGCTACGCACTTTATTTAAGCAATGGTTTAGATTATTTTTTTTATATATTTTTTTTTGTTTTTTGTTTTATCGCAGCTACGCACAAGCGTATCTATCTACATCTCGGTGGCTTTGGGAGGCGGTTCATTTATACATTTCATGATTGATGATTTAAACAAGAGTCTCATAAATAAATGCTGTAAGATTTCAATGACTCCATAGACCATAAAGTCGGACTTCGTTTAGGGAATGTCACTTTTGTTTTTTTAAACCATTCTTTTCCCTGTACGTACATAAATACAATTTTTCTTGACCTAAAGGTTGTAAATACCAGGTCATAAAATACAAAAAAAATATATACAATTTTTGAAAGCTGTCAAAAGTGACCAATGTCAACTGCTGAGTTCTCTTAAACGTCATTGTATGATGAATATATTTTATAGCTCTGATTTATAGAGAAATGGGAGATCCTAAAACAATCTTCATCATAGTCTTTACTAGTTGAGCTTCTCCTGAAATATATTTCTGATTTACTCTTATGGTATTTACTTCGCTTTTAGCGAGTCGAAATACTGCTTACTGACTCGGTGGCGCATTAGCTAACGGCCCCAACTGTGGCGCCTAGGGTCGTGGGTTCGATTCTCACATTGGGCAAACGTTCGTGTAATAAACAGGTTTGGTTGCTCTTTGTCTGGGTGTTTATCACTACATAGTATAAAACAAAGTTGTTTTCTCTGTCCCTATGTATGGTTAAATCTTTAAAACTACGCAACGGATTTTGATGCGGTTTTTTTTAATAGATAGAGCGATTGAAGAGGAAGGTTTATATGTATAATAACATGCATTAAATAGTGGACAAATCAATAATAAATTACATTTTCCGAAGCGAAGCGGGGGCGGGTCGTTCGTTATCTATATATTTGTTTATTTAACCGTATAAAAGTATGTATGTCAGTCTCTGGTATCCATATCACTGGTAATCCTAATTTGGGGCCGGACGACCGTGCGTGATTTGTTCCCAGTTATTTATTTTATTTAATGTAATGTCGGAGATAGTATAATGACAATAGAAACACGAAATTACCCCGCAAATTTAGTTTTAATCATGAATTCACACTCTTGTTTAAATTTTCATTCTTCGTTTGTTTTAAAATGTCTAAGCACCGAACATCATTCAATTCATTCATCAACAATTCGCCTTCGAACTAAAGATCATTAGTTATTTAAACGTTCTGACGAAGCGTGTTGCGGATAATAACATGTACTTTTAGGTTAGGAATATTGTGTTCTTTTTTTTTATAATAAATAAATTAATTTTATATGAAAATTAAATTTTATAATAAAAAATAAAATATTATAAAAATTATATTTAAACGTATATCATTCTGAGAGGACTTCTCGTGCATGAAAAGAAAAAAAAAACACAAATTCGCTTCTATTCGCCTGATGCCTAATTTGTCTCTATAATCTTTACATAAAATTCTCGTTTGTAAATAAGTAACGCTTTTAATACTAATCATAAATAAGCTTACTTATCATCGGTACATTGCTTATAATTTAGTGCATAATAGAATTAATTATTTATCATCAATATAAATAATGAATATAACTTTTTATTTAATAAATTTAGAATGTTTGATGAATTCGTATACTAGTTTTGTTAGGCATAACCGTCACAATATGTTATGTCCTAATAAATATATGTTATTGTAATTGTAAAATGTTTTCGGGCTGCGAAATTTTTTTTTTGCTTATATGTTTGGACGAGCTCACAGCCCACCTGTTGTTAAGTGGTTACTGGAGCTCATAGACATCTATAATGTAAATGCGCCACCCACCTTGAGATATGTTCTAAGGTCTCAAGTACATTTTAATTTTTATTTTTTATAAATACACTAGCTTTTGCCCGCGACTTCATCCGCGTGGAATAGTTACTTTGGCATAACGCTAAATTTTACCCGCTTCTTCATTTACGTGGAAAGTGAAAATATTTTTGAATAATAGAATGTCAAGGAGTTATTTAAGGTACCAAAATCACGCTTTTTTTAACAGACTTGCATTGGCCTTAGCGTGATGTTATATAGCCTATAGCCTTCCTCGATAAATGGGTATCTAACACTGAAAGAATTTTTCAAATCGGCCCAGTAGTTTCTGAGATTAGCGCGTTCAAACAAACTCTTCAGCTTTATAATATTAAGTATATAGATTTTAATTTTTTTGAAATTAATTTCAGGAGGGTATAAGGGCCCGTCGCGTCGGAGGGTCCCTCTCGCTGTCGGAGGACGAGGTCGACTCGGAGGCGGAGGTGTACGATCCGCTAAACAAGCGCGGTTCGAGCAGATGAGATCGGACCCTGCACGACTTGTGCAAAGCCCTGTACGAATACACTCAGTACAGTGACGACTAATGACTCTGAGTTGCCCTTTCAAACTCTATTAGACTAATGAATGACCCTGCCCTTTCGAACTCGAAATACGAACAATCGATAGTTCTTTTTTTATTTTTTGGCTCCGACACGGTTTGTGCATTAGCCAGCGTCAAGTAATAAGATTTTTATAATTCTCCGTTTTAATTATGTGTTTATGAATAATAATAAAACGAAGGAAACCCAAATTAATTAACTGAGATGAAATTAAATGAAATGATGAAAGGATGAACTATAATCTCAGTAAAATGGTGGTTATTTACTAAGACCTTTTCAGTGGACTTTTTGGAGGATCCCGAGAAGCTACGTTCAATGACTTTGTTTCATTTTCCCACATTTGTGCATTTTCACAGATATTAAACAGTTGATAAACCACCGTTATTAGACATATAAACCTGAAGAAACACTAAATAGACAATATAAAACAAATCACACAACTTCACTCCTCGCGTTCCCGCCAAAAAGTCCAATCGATAGTTGTTTGTGACTTTGTAATAGCCTTTTGGGCTCGAATGTACTTTTTGTAGTTCGTAATTGAACTAATAATTCGTAGTCGTTATAATATGACTTTTCTCTTGACGTTATTATCGCTTTTGAGATATTAAGTAGATAATTTATAAGACTTGGCTCAAACGTATAGTTACCGAGCCATACAAAAAAAAAGTTGTAATATTTCATTAAATTTCATTAAAGGTTTAAAGTTTATCCGGTCTCTAAGTTTTGATCTTGAACTTCAAGACGACTTTGACAATTCTAATTTTCGCATCGAAATGAAAATTTTAAGTGCTTATAGCTTAAACGAGTTTTGTTATGCGTTTTTGTAAAGTGTACAAAATTTTATTTGGCATAAACTTAGTCTAGAGGTTATTCGTGCAAATTTTGTATAGAATTGATTATTTGATTATTTAGAATAATTAATAAATCCGAAATAATAATTTCTTTCGAACTGTTTGTGCGTACGAATAATGTATATCTTAATATAATCTTCGTTTTTTTTGCGGCTAGTACACGTAATTTCGCGTTTATTATTTTTATTTCTCACGATTTCCTACGTTTTTAAACACTACAGTTATCTGCTGTTGATTGTCTTGTAAAATATGTAGTTTATTGTAAGTATTTTTTTAATCGATCAATACACGTGTTGATTAAGAAAAGAATGAATGGAACGAATGATTAATACAGATAATGTAATTTTATCATGGACGTTAAAGGATTTATTTTGCATTTCAAATAAATCCCTTAATGAGTGTTTGATAGTCAGTAGGTGTTTTGAAAGCGGCATAGCTGTGCCTTTATTAGTGCAACGGCAAAAGCCACCGTCACGTGAGCCGTACGCTTAGAAAGCAATATAAAGAAAAATCCAAGTAAATTCGATACGAGATTTCGACGGACATCGTCTTAAGATTGTTTTATTTATTTTCAGTTAATTGAAAAATGATATGTTTGGATTAATAAATCTGAAATTAACTGTTAAATTAATATTAATCTCGCGTCGTGGTAATTAGCGTAGCTACATTTATTTTTAAGTATAATAAAGTATCGATAATTTACTAGAAAACAAGGTTCGGTAAAAAAAATACATTTACCGGAGATACAACGATTTGAAATACGTCATGGGGTCAATATGACCCAGAACGCACGGACAGACCGTCTGCACTCGAAGGGTTAAGCTGCTTTCAGACTACGCTATAATATAATAGTATATAGCTCATAGCACAACAATATCGCGCTCCATACATTGTTATGGACACGATCACACTGTACTGTACTATATATTATTGGCTAGGTATACGCTGCTATACTATATAGAACTATAGCATAGAGTAGTCTGAAAGCAGCTTTAGACTGGTTTCTGTCGCGTTCATATACACGTCCAGATCACGTCATTTTTTTGTACACATTGAAAGGCAAGCACAATGTTAGCGATTCTCTCAGCTTGAGCCCTTTTTTAGGATTGAGGGCTTACTGGTGGCCCAGAAGCCTTTCCGGTTTCACAAAGACAGGTTGGCGAGCAAGGGCTCAGCCAGGAGGGCCGGGATTTGCTAACAGCTACCCGAGCGCCTCCAAGGGAGACCTAACATCGCAAGAGTAGCTGCTTCGCGTACACAAGAGCAGTGCTTCGCTGAATCAACCACCGGATCGCGACTCACTGATAAAGTCAGGAAATCGTCCTGCTAATATCGTAATGTCGCATTTCCCTCGCGAGTAATGAAATACGAAACCCTTAGCGTGGTGATAAGTTATGTATCTATAAAAATGGAAGCTAATTACAGCTGGATGTATCGAGAGATATCTCGACAAGCTCAATTAGAGTAATTCAGTTATGATTGAGAATGTTTGTTGTCTCTGTCTCGCATGTCGTCGCAGCTAGCGAGTAACGTCGACAGGTATAGTTTTGATATATAGTATTAAGTAGGAGTAATTAGCGTTTTAAATATTTTTGTTTATCGTAAAAACAAAGTAGGCGTAGGTACTCAAAATAAAAGACATTATTTTATGTTCGAATAAAACAGTTCTTTTTTAATTAATCGTACGCGAATTCAGTTTTAATTTTTTAGTATATAAAGTCCAAAGTTTACTGTGATTAAATTCTTAGTCTTTATATTTGTTTAATCAGGCTTATTATTGATTTGGCTTAAATTCAAGACAGTACTATTTAGTTTTGTGTATAGTTTTAGATTTAAAAAAAAAAGTTTGCATTAAAAATGTGTTTGTTAAATAAAAATATGTTATAGTGATAGAAAAGTAGTACTAAAAAAAACTCAAGTTCGTTTGAGAAAGAAGAACAAAGCTTGCAACGGGTATTAGTTAATTAAAGATTGGCAAATTCTACACATAAAGTCTATACCGTTATGATTAGAACGTTCAAATTGTTATAATGTCTCTATAATTATAATCATTGGATCTACAAACAATCAAAAACAAATAACACAGGATAAAACTTAAATGTCCCTACATGTAACTAAGAGGCTTTGTAGTACTTGATACTACAGTATTAATTAGTGATTTTAAGCTATTGCATACCTTTATGTCGGAGTTTGAGCGCGGCGACCGAATCAAGAAATTGCGTAACGAAAATAAAACCTAACACCCCCAACTCCGCCTACCAACCGCAATGCACTTTAAACAAAGAATCCATCGAATTGCCATGGTGTTTGAACATTTAAATACCCCAATAAGACAATGCAGCATGGAATGTTAAGTGAAAAGTGTGAGTTTTTAATGCAAAACAGACTAGGTATTAATGAGGCTATGGTTTATACCCAGTACTATATATACAGTGTGTGGTTTTTGTGATGAGTTTATTAAAATTACAAATCATAAAAAAATGCATTCGCATGTAAAAGCTAAAAAATTACTACAGCTTGTTATTAAAAACGCTGTATGTTAAAATTGTTTATTATAATGACGCTCTTCTGAAGAAATAAAAAGGTTTTTTTGTTAGAAGGCTCTATTCAAAATTGTCAGTTTGTGAAGCGTTACACTTGTGATATGAAGTTTATAGCAGCATAAAATGTTGGTGCCATTTTAGCTTTTAAGGTACTAAATTAACCCTTAAAGAGAAAAGAAAAAAAATTAAAAGAAAGAAAAGAAAAAGAATTATTCCACTAGAAAAAATAACGCACGTTTGTATCAAATGCAATATTGTGTTTTATTTTCTTGAGTTTATTTTTTGTAATAACTACTACTTAATACTTAAATTTGTTTCTAGATTGCCAGTGGTAGTTATGACTATTATAAAAAGAAAAACTTAAATATTTAACGTAGTAAAGATTGCTTTAAATCTTATTCATAATAGTAACATTTGAAGGGTTAGTTTTTAGGTAATTTTTGTTTACCAAATATATTTGCTAATTTTACAAACCGCCAACTATGCTTGTACTTCCAATTCTAAATCCGTATCTATCTCTGCGTACCTAGTTAATCATTTTAATGTGATGTAACATTTATGATACCAAAAATAATAGAATTGTACATAAAATTAATGATCGAGTCTCGGAAAGCCAAACATCTAAAAGTGGTATCTTACGTATTATAATTATTTGCGTTCAGAGATTATTTCTCAGTGAACGACTGATTAGTTAATTACATGTCTGTCGAGGCACAAGTCTCGTTTGAAAAACCAAATGTGTAGCTCAAAATAGAGTATTAAAATGCAATAAAATGCTTTAAAATAATGGTCTTTTATTTAGTAGTCTGTTACTTAACTTTTACTGTTACTTAACTAGTAACTAGTAGTAGTAACTTAATAGTAGTTAGTTTTACTGGTAGTAGGACCTCTTGTGAGTCCGCGCGGGTGGGTACCACCGCCCTGCCTATTTCTACCGTGAAGCAGTACTGCGTTTCGGTTTGAAGGGTGGGGTAGCCGTTGTAACTATACTTGAGACCTTATATCTCAAGGTGGGTGGCGCATTTTCGTCGTGGATATCTATGGGCTCCAGTAACCACTTAACACCAGGTGGGCTGTGAGCTCGTCCACCTAAGGAATAAAAAAAAAACTTAACAACGGTTATGAACATGATCTATATGAGATTATAACTTAATATATTCCTGTTTTTTTATTGTCTTCATAAGCAGATAGACACAGTCTGATGGTGTTTGGTTACCGATCCCGCTAACTATCAAAGGACGCTTGTGCTAGACTTCGAGAAGATATCGAGACTATTTGCTGTTGATGCTAATACAAAAAAATAAAACTGGCCTTTAATTACAGGGATAAATGACGCGAATTAAGCGAAATGTCGCTTAAACCAAATAGCCTTTCATCCCTCGATATATTAAAACAAATTTTCATTGCAATTTTAAACTTCCTTAGTATAAACGGATCCTCAGGGTGGCGGCGACAGTTGAGACAATTTACATCCACACGAAATATTATATTCTCTTTAGTACACGTTACGGTGGGTAGAATACGAATGCAACAGAGATATGCTAACCGCCGGTATTTATACAATCATCTTGACCTATTTTAATACAAACTTAGTAGGTAATATTAAACATTGTTCATCTTAGTTATTCTGCTGATTATTTACGTACAATTATTATTTAATAATATCGAATTATGTAACATAAATAACATTAAGGCTTATTGCGCCGGAAGCTGTCAAGCGGAAGGCGCCAATAAAATATTATAAGTATAAAGAAATATGAATGAACTATTTACTTGATTATGAAATTACTAATTATATTATAAGACAATAAGTTCTATATATTTCCTAAGTTCGTAAATAATTAGTTATGTGAGGCCGGAAGTGTTGCTCGATAACATTAGTCACGTGGCAAATGTCAATTTACAATGACAGAGTCCCATTTCTTCTGTGGGTTTCCTGAATTGGGCAGCAGCGTGGAGTAGGTATATAGGTAGTAAAATATCGCCACCTCCAACTCGGTTTTAATGGTGGTAGTGCTAACTGTGGTTCCGCACGAGTCGTCATCCTATTTCCATCGCAAGCATATGTGCTGGTTTGAAGAATGGGACGGCTATTAATACAATATAATTTAGACATTGACCTTGACCTTTGAAAAGTCCAAACGTGAACGGCTCCCTTCACTGTACAGTGTTAAAGGGCAGCGGCAATCAGTTACCACTAAACTGACCGTGGGTTGGCCTGTTTGTGTAAAGTAATACAAGTAAAAAGCTCGCGCATCTAATCCAATTAATACCAAAAAATACCATATTAGTCTTTTTCGATGGAGTGTGGCAGGAGTGGCGCAGGATAATCCAGAAGAAAATTATTGGAGGAGGCCACGACCCTCAGCATTAAGGATTATCGACGTAAAGAGGAGGTTTACTTGTGACCCAAAGTATTTTCCAGCTTCATCAAAACAGCGGGGCGAAATCAGGGGCTCAACTAGAAGAAGGTTTGCTAACTGAGCGTTCCCGGAGGAGGCTTAGAGCCCAAGGGCAGCTACTTTGCGAATGTCCATTTTAGTCTGAGATCATTGGTAGCGATTTGTAAGGGATAGTTCTAAAATTGCTGCACTCCGGAACCTTCATCGAAAATTCTTGAATAACATTGGAGAAAAGCGAAGCTAAACAAAACTTTCAATGACAGTTGTTACGGTTTTACGACACGCGCTGGTTAGAGTAACTAATTGGACTTATAAAACAGGAGAAAACCGAATAAATATTTCTAAAAATTTATTATAATTACCTGAAAAATTATTTCAACCTTTTTGGTAAACCTTCACAATTCAATGTAAAATACTATAAAATACTATTTATGTTTGTTGATTAACTATTTATTACGTGTTGCGTCGATGTAATAAAGCTAATCCTTGTAACATTTCCAATTAATGGCACGAATCAACTTCTCCTTCACTTCACAGACTCTGCGCAGGTAACTAGATACGTTAAGGCATTCCAAATCATTGCCGCCATCGTTTTTAATCGTTTCCACGCCTTCTATACACATAGTCCTGTAATTATGTCCTGTTTCGAATCCGTAACTCGTCGTCTCACTCGTTCCATCCCATTGTTCGTCCGTCCTTATTCTGATTGCTTTTATTTTGTTCTCCCAATATTTTTTCAAATGATACCTAACGTCGGGGCAGTCGCAAAGATTAATTAAGACATGCATAGCGTTTATTTGTAAAGGCGGCAAGTTTGGAACGTGGCACAAATTTACGAGAAGTCTCGTGAGTTCGTAACAACATTCCTTAGCCCGCCATTTTGAACGCGTCGTCAAAGTTGTATAATTCAACAGACACACAGCGCTGATTATGATTTCAATGTGTTTTGATGTTAAATACTTTTTCAATTTAAACACTAAATCGTTCTCGTCGGCCAGTATTTTTCCGACGTCGTGCTTGCAAAGCTGGGTCATGCAATCCATCGCACCGGCCACTATTCTTGGATCAAAATCATCAAACAGCACTAGCATGATACGAAAAGCGTTGGACTTTAGCGGTATGACAGGATCCCATTCTGCAAGGTTTGTTAATGTCTTTAAATGCAACAGAATAATCCCTTTATGATCATTTTTGATTGTTTTCAGGAGATTGTCGACAATTTTTTCATTCTCCATCAGGATTTCGCAGGCACATCGGTCTCTTGCTAAATTCCTTAGAGTGTAGGCAGCAGCGTAACGTATCTCCTTTCTTTCCCGCATCATCAGCCACATGAGATTTTCTATGATGATAGGTCTAGACATAATCTGCTTTCTACCTTGGTAGTAAGACGCCAGGTGAGTGAGGATCATGCATATCTTTTCTTTAATAACTGGGTCCGGATTGAGCATCAAGTTTATAAGGCGATACGCGATGTGTAAATTTATTAGGACCATCGCATGCTCAGTTATTTGAACCTGAAATTTGAAAAAAAAATTGTGCAGCCTAAACCAATCTAAAAGAAATTAATAGCCTTCGATTCCGTGTTTCTATAATTCTTATTCCGTGATATGTAAAAATTTGGCATAATACGGAAGAGAAGTGCATCGTTATTGCGTCGAGTGCGTGACAGTGGCAACAGTCTTCAACACATCATATCGAGGGACTGCTAATTAATAGCCTATGAAGCAGGCACGGCACTTGTAGAGAAAAATTTGTAATGGATAGTCTGTGTTAGGTTTTTTTTTAAAGAGATTTTATGACCTGGTAACCTGGTATGACCTGGTATTAAAATAAGACATAACCTTTAAGTCATGTCTTATTTTAATTTATATTCTTATTTTTATGAAAAATGATAATATGGGTGAAATAAAATGAAACGAAGACAATTAATTTGTGACATCAATCAACTGGGATGAAATTAAATGAAATGAAATGAGATGATATGGGATGGGATAAATATAATCTCAGTAAAATGGTGGTCATTTACTAAGATTTTTTCAGTGGACTTTTTGGAGGATCCCGAGAAGTTACGTCCAGCGGCTTTGTTTCATTTTCCCACATTTGTGCACCTTCACAGATATTTATTACACATTTAAACCCGAAGAAACACTAAATAGACAAAATAAAACAAATCACACAACTTCACTCCTCGCGTTCCCGCCAAAAAGTCCTCCGTGTTAGGTTTTGAAGTTACTAACATAGATTATAAGTAATACTTACTAACAAAATGTTATGGTTTTTTTTTAAACTGAAATAAAATATTAATAATTATAATAAATAAATAAATAACTACTTTGTCTTATTTAAAATCATTCGCCAAAAAATCAAAACATAATAAAAATCATGTAAATTCGACATAATATATTATGTACATTTTCTAAAATTGATTAGGTATAGATCTATAAATCTATGATAGATGCTCAATTATACTCTATTTTTTTTTATGTCGATTTATGTTGGTTGGAGTTTTTATTACAGGATCACTCACTAAGTTTGATTTAGTAAAATCTGGTAAAATAATCGTTATCGCAACCAAACCGACTTACAAATACAGTAAAATCAATAGACAGCAGGCGACAAGACTGTACTTACTTCATCTAAAACACTGTGCAAAGCTTGAAGTTGCACTAAATGATCCTCTGAATGCAACTGCCTTACAAGGACTCTGAGACCGGTAACTCCGAAACCTATCTTCGCTCGTGAAATATCCACGTGCGGAGCGTACAGTGATGGCTGCATAGATTCTAGTCTTTGCGCTGGTGGAAGGGCTGGAGATAAATGAAAACTTTATTGAGGACGTATCCCTAAATGTGTAATCAAAATTTTTGAATATTTTTTTGGAATCTGTGAATTCACTTTGTGTTGTGGCGGGTAGCCATCATACAACGCAAGATATTTGACAGATGCAAGATATTTATTAATGTCAAAGACACAGTCAAAGCGCTTCTTGAGATGGACGATTTCATTTTTAGTGTAGGGTCGCTGCAAAATTTCTACCTTAAATAATAACATCTAGACACGCTGAAGATACCTACTGTAAAAGTGTGCAGCCATTCTACACTATAACTATTCATTATTGATTAATGACGAACACCTAAAAAACCAAATTCTTAATTATAAAACAAGCTGTAAATTTGGTTGTACACAGTAAGCGTGTTGTGAGAAAACAATCGTATTTAATTATTTAGAATATTTTAGTCTGTTACACAAACAGGTGTGAAGTGGTCGGGGTCGCAGTCGGATATGTATAGGCTGGATTGTGGGGTAAAACAGGGTGGCTTGTCATCGTCAAGCCTTTTTAACCTATACATTGACCGCCTGATTCGTGGGCTCAGCAATTCCAATGTCGGCTGTTCCATTGATGGTGTGTTTGTTATAATATCAGTTATGCAGACGATATGGTGCTGCCGAACCCATCGATCAGGGCTCTCAGAAAGCTGATTAGGATATGCGAGCGTTATGCGGAGGAACATGGGCTCAGATATAATGCCGTTAAAAGCGAACTGATGGTATTTAAATCAGGCAGAAAAACCTACGAAACTGTCCCATCAGTCATACTCAACGGCAGTGTCCTTAAGCAAGTATCGCAATTCAAGTATCTGGGTCACTGGGTCACTGAGACGCTTGCAGACGATGTAGACATGGACAGGGAGCGCAGGGCGTTGTCAATCAGGGGTAATATGCTGGCCCGTAGGTTCGCGCGGTGTACTGCAAAGGTGAAAGCTACTCTTTTCAGAGCATACTGCCAGTCTTTCTACACGTGCAGCCTATGGGTTAAGTATACCAAGAAATCCTACAACACCCTGCGTGTCCAGTATAATAACTCTTTCAGAGCGCTGATGTGGCTGCCGCGTCACTGCGGTGCGTCGGGGATGTTTGCGGATGCGCGAATAGATAGCTTTGCAGCAATCGTTCGCAAACGAATTGCTTCCCTGATTCGCCGCGTGCGGGTCAGTTGCAACAGCTACCTACGGCTGTTCGCCTCACGAATGGATCTGGACTGCCCAATAATGCAACACTGGACACATGTGCATGCTGAGCACTCTGGATCCAAACCAGCCTTTAGGTTAAGGTAGTTTTGATGTAAATTTTGAGTTTGTGTTTTATTATTATTATTATTTGATTTTTTGTTTTAATTATTATTATTGTTGATTTTTTTTTGGCCGAGATTGTAGTTATTGTTTTTATTTAATTCTAGTATAAATGAAATGTTAATAAGTGTAATATGGATGCAAAATCTGATGTAAATGAAATAAATAAATAAAAAAATAAATAGAGATATAATATTTATTTTCTTACCATCATGCGAATCGCTGTATGGTTTTCGCAATGCATAGTCCACGGCTTTGTTCAGTAAACGTGGATTGACGGCACATACCAATTGCAAATAGGAATTTTTGTAGGAGCTAAACATTATTAGAAAATTAAAGAATACAAAATAAAATGTTAATATGATTTGACTATGAACATGATTACGAAACTGTCAGTCACAATTTTGAGTTGGATTTGTCAATTCAATTTGTGATTTTTTATTATTTACTTTATAGTAGTGTAATGTGTATTTAAAAATGTCTAAAAATATCTTGCAACATTTACAATATTTAATCTTTGTACAAATAATATTTTTGAACGCCTTTTTAAAACTATTTCGGTTAAAGGATCTCGCATGAAAATAATAGTAATTGTTATTAATATCTATACTATATAAGATTACAGCATGTCTTGTGGCTAAATTTGCGATACATTGCCACGTATCTGACATGTTTTTCATAATGAAAGTATTACATCATGTAATAAAATTAGTTTGACGACAAAGTACTTATTTGGAGTTTTTTCTCTGTTCTTCATATGTATGAATATGTATTCATGGATATCGAGAGAAAAGAAAAAAAGAATTTTAGAATCCTTTTTAATTCACTAAATATTTTTAGAGATAAATGTATTTTTCCGTGTAGTGAACATTTATGGGGATGTTATCGCCTCTGGAATGGACGGAATCCTTTTCTTCTGCATTTGGTATCGACAATAACTTGAGCTTGCCTCTTCAGATAGCATCTTGACGGGATGTCTTCCTCTTCATCGGATGCTGTAAGCAAGATTTAAAACAACCAAACAGCTATAGCTGAAGTAACGTGATTGTGTTCAACTATAAACACAAATTCAGGTACAGAATTTAGTTCGGTAATTATGGAACTATGTATATACATTAAATCAACGAGAAATTTTTCACCTCCACTCAAAATATCTATACTATAGTACATACACCTGTTTATCGAAATTTTCAATCGTAATATTATTATTATATTTGTACATACAAATATCATTTATTTAAGGCCTAAACTTTTTTCAGTGGAAAGGAAAAAATAATTTTTCAACCTGCCAAATTGACGTTGGTTTAAATGTGTTATATATAATATTATTATATAATATTTACATAGTTATATTATTATATATTATATAATATTTCATAAGACCATTTCATAGGTGTAATCTGTGCCCTCGAGCTAAAACCGCAAAAGTACGTTTATGTAATGCCACTTTATTGGAAAAGTATTTTTAGTGCCACACTTAAATATGATATGTACTCGATAACGGTTACTGATGATATATTGTTCTAGAGCTTAGTACTAAAAATAAAATTATTGATATTGGCCCTTGATTGAGCACCAGACATCAGATTTTTTTTTAATAATTGGTCCAAAAATGTTCTCTACAGCGTCGCGACCAGAACAAAGAATCAAGGAAACACATACGAATCATAAACCGAAATTTCACAGAATGGATTATGACGTCATCACAATTACGGTGCGGGAGTGAGAGGGGGATAGCACTACGAAGTACCAAAACGTTCGCAAAACTCACGTGGTGCTCTGACAGGTTCCTTTTGCAAGAGCTCCTTATAGGTTGGTATTTGCTTGTCTGACTCCTTAGGCGTGCTGTGACTGTGCACACTGAGTCCAGCCACGGAGGCGGCCGCGCTAGTTTGCTGAAAGATATACCTTAGATTGGTTCCTTTCACGTGATTGAAATTGTGAACTATAAATAGCGCACATTTCAATACAATTAAGAGCTTATGGTACATATCGAGGTGTATAAGGCTATCTCGTTTATGTCACATTACGCTTAATACGCGACATGGTTAAAGGTACATTTTATTTGGTATTATACTATTTCCATTTCTTTATTTTCTCGATGACAACTCCTGTGGAAACTTGAACGAGCGTCTCTTTTACATTATGTATATGTACATTATTTAATAAAAATATGACGCTTACGCACGTACAAGGTCATAGCAGAGTCGGAGAAACTGATAGAGTATAGTGACAACAATTCGATTTTTTTAAAAGAGCTTCAATTAAGCTTATTCAAATAACTGAAGATAATTTTTTCTAAAATTTTAAACTTTAAATAGTTCTCCTGTAAAGTTGCAAAAATGTCGCTTAAACCAAATAGCCTTTCACCCCTGAGTAGTGTAATGCCATCTCTTATTAACTAGCGGGAACACATATCGAAACGACTCGCCCTATCGGGAATGTTCCGGATGATTGTAGAGTTGTCGTGTCGACTATAAAAGCGTTGCAGACATGACATGAAGGCAGTTAGTAATCGGATCTACTCGAAGCGAAGCAGCGAACGGATCACCTGAAGTGAAGCGGAAGAACTGAGTTACGAATTGTAAAGTGTTCCATAAGTGTTTTGAGTGTTTAATAGAGTTTTAATTTGTACTTCGGTGTAAGTTTTATTTATCCCAAACCCTAGCGCGTAACACTATTTTCGAAAACTTCTCACATTAGAAGGCACTATGATCGTAGTAACATCCTTATTCTTCTCCTTGATCTCATCAGATCTAGCTTTGGCTTTTTCGTATCTAGATGTGAGCACCACCACCAGTTCATGGACGTCGCGCGCTTCTGCTGTCCATTCTGGCACTGACGGCTCCTGTATTAACTGAATACCAATTCAGATTAGTTTTCCTTGATGAACAGATTAGTTTAGTAAGAGTTTGATCTTCGGTATTGCGGTATTGGTAGCCGAGTAAGTATTAGACGGGTATTAAAAACCACTGACTAGCCAGCGTCAAAACTGTTGCCCCACCTTTAAACATTGGCGTCTTAATTATTCTAGCTCAGCGGCTGTCCCTCACAGATTTGTATTTTTTATTGCTTAGAAGGGTGGACGAGCTCACAGCCCACTTGGTGTTTGGGTTGCTGGAGCCCATAGACATCTACAACGTAAATGCCGCCACCCACCTTGAGATATGAGTTCTAAGGTCTCAGTATAGCTGCAACGGCTGCCCCACTCTTAAAGCCGAAATGTATTACTGCTTCACGGCAGAAATTGGCAGGGCGGTGGTACCTACCCGTGCGGACTCACGAGAGGTCCTAACACCAGTGAGTGAGCTGTATGCTTAAAGAGGGCTATGCGGTGCCACCTCCCTTGGGCTGCCCAAAATGCAACGGATACCTTAGTCACACCCGATTTTCAGCTGAATTTTACTGGCGGTACGGCGTTTAGTAGAACCGCATAAGTAAGTACCACCATCCTGTTTACTTTTGGCCGCGAAACACTCTTGCATTCCGATGCGAAGAGTGGGGCGGCCATTCTACTATACAATTGGTGGTTTTGATAAAATTGGTTATACAAAACGCTTCGTGGAAGATCGTATCTTTGCATTTTCATATAAAACTTATGCTAGATTTACTAACAATTTACTGATTTATATTTATTTAAAAAAAACTACAGTCTTTATGTTCGCGAATTGTAAAAAGTTAAGCATGATTGAATTCGCCAGTATAGGTATACTATAATAAATTAGAAGCCTCGTTTCAAGTAAAGCAAGCAATTCGTTCGGTATCTGTTAACCGGTGTGCTTAGTGCGAGTTTTTTAACGTTCTCGATATCGTAAAAGTTAATCCAACTTTGTATTACATGCAGTTGGAACAGCGCCCCTAGCGGCAAACGTAGGCAAACGATTCCATTCCATATAAATATGAGGTAACTTTTACGCTATCGAGTCCCGATCTTGCGGAAAAAATGGAAAGCAGTCGACGTCGCCCAAAACACGTCATCTCGGATCCTCCCAATCCACTAACAGTGCTTTTAGGTACCTCAAGCACCGATCACCGTTCTCGTCGAATCCGTCGCTTGCGACGAAGGGCTCGACGAGTAAATTAACCCTCAGACACAGCCCACTGAGTTTCTCGCCGGATCTTCTCAGTGGGTCGTGTTTCCGATCCGGTGGTGGATTCTGCGAAGCACGGCTCTTGCTAGGGTTCGTGTTAGCAATGTCGTCAGGTTTGAGCCCCGTGAGCTCACCTACTAGTTAAGGTTACGCTGGAATAGTTAAAATGACATACGTCTAATAACTTGCAGAGGTCGTGGAGCAATCTCTTGATTTCGAGTAGAAATGTTTCGAGATCGTCTATTTTCTTCTGTAGTTCATCGTGAATATCCTGCTCTTTCTGTATTTCGATCTTTAAGTCGTTGATTTGATCTTGACCCCTGGAAGAATCAAAGTTGAGAGCTTAAGTTTTACTGTAGGTCGGTAGACAAATTACAGTTCCTCTTTGTTTCAGTCCACATACTTAACAATTTGGATGCCAACGGCTTGAAGAGTGGCACAGACGTTACCAGATTCATTTGAGGTTTTAACCGTATACTTCAAGATATCTAATACCACTAAGGTAGGTCATGAGTTCGACTGCTGGAGTCTAAGAGCAATAAATCTACGGTTAGTTTGGCAAATGAATGTTACTATCCGCCTACGAAGAGCGAGTATTTGCATTCAACGTCAAGGAGTTCGCGATTCGGAGGTCGACTTGATCCGTTCACGATTGTTAAATTAGTACACTATTAATTTAATTCGTTTTATCAATTTTTTTAGATATTACGTTTTTTTAGATATTACGTTTTATATTACGTCCTAATAAATCAAAGAGAGCCTTTCCGTGGCGAAATAAAGAGACGGTTCTGAGATCATCTATACAAATAAAACAAAACGAGGGTTCATTGTAAATAGGATCATCATATCATTGTACAGTCTGACCTTTTCTTTTCAAATTCCAGTGCTTGAAGGCAATTTATAGGATGTATTATAGCTGAAACGTTCAAATTAGCTTCTGCCTTGACGTAGGCAGAACACAATGTTTATTGTCCGAGCCAAACACAAATTTGGTTTTTATTAGGTCTGTATTAAATTAAATGGCAGTGTAAGCGGATGCTCGATGGAGACAGTTGGTTGACGAAATCGGACGGAGTCACGATCCTCAGCAGTGAAGAACCGATCGAAGAGAGAGAGAGAAGCGGATGCGACTAGAGGACACCGTCGCGTCGCCTTAGTAAAATTTTACATTCTTATCGAGCGTAGTGGTCATAAATAACATTTTTTTCCATCTCAAATCGAATTGCATATGCGAGCTACATTTTCCATCTAGTTTGTTCTATGCTATAATTACCTATACTGTTACGATTGTGCTCAACTTAATCAAATTTTTGCTTGCATTAACGTAGACGTATGGGGGTAGAACAGTTAAATAATATAAGTGACGTAGTTTTAACAAATAATTACTTGTAGTTGTCTCCTGGTAGTCGAAATTCGACTATTACTAATTGAAATTATAAGATTGTGCACTATTATGATTCTGTTTTCAAATACTATTACACAATTTTCGTAAAAAGGGATACAAAGTTTTTCCTTCACGTATTAATAATTATAGATTATTCGTGCATTTAATAATGAATAAATAAAATCTAGTTTCGAATATTTAATGACTTTAATGACGTACTCATCTTTGTCTTTGACTGAAGCGAATTTGAAAGCTTCCAGTTCGGCCATCAGCGTGGTTTGTCTCTGCTCGAGGTCCAGTTTCTCTTCTTCGGTGGTCTGCTGGAGGTAGCTCAGTCGTTTGCAGGTGTCGCGCTGGGCGCGGAACCTGTCGAACACTTCTTCAGGATTTGTGACACCTACGGAAAATTTTGTATATCTCACATTTGCACATTATTACTTTACATTTTTGACGCAGATAATTCTCTTTTTTTAATTGGCATATAGGATTTGAAACGTCGAAAATAATATTAATATATAACTACTCGTGGTTATAGCAAATTCAAGATAGAAGTTGTCTTGACCTAAAGGATAAAACGTCCGGGGCTTTCGTATGTAGCGATGTATCGGTGTTCGTATCCCGCAGGCGGATACCAATTTTTCCTATGAAATAAGTACTTAAAAAATGTTCACGATTGACTTCCACAATGAAGGAATAACGTCGTGTAATAAAAATCAAACCGGCAAAATTATAATTTGCATAATTACTGGTGGTAGAACGTCATGTGAGTCCGCACGGGTAGGTTCCACCACCCTGCCTATTTCTCCCGTGAAGCTGTTGCTTCTGCTGTGTAAGTAGTAATGTGTTTCGGCTTGAAGAGTAGGGCAGCCGTTGTAACTACACTGAGACCTAGGAACACATGCCTCAAGGTGGGTGTCGGCGTTTATGTTGTAGATGTCTATGGTCTTTGGTAATCACCAGGTGAGCCGTGAGCTCGTCCACCCATCTAATCAATAAAAAAATTAATGCAAAATTAAGCCTTAAAATTAGTTTTAATTGCGTATGTGGCTTACGTAATTCGAATAAAATACAACACTAGTAGAATTAGACAGGCGTGTCTTATTCTTCTTTGTACCTATATTCTAAAAGAACATGTGCCCAAGCTTCACAGTCTCGGTTGCCATTGAACTGGTTGCTTGTCTGATAACGTGAGTCAATCAAGTAATAAACATTTATGGAAAACGTTTAGATAAGAAATGGATTAAGTACCAGTTAATTTCATAAGTTTCTGGAAAATGTCTTCCATCTGAGCTGCGGCTGATGCTTCCTCGGATACCGCTTCGGCTTCCCGATCTGATCTGGTAGACTCTTGACGAACCACTGATCGACCTAAAGTGTGTTATGTACTTGAAAAATAGGAAAAATAATTAAAAACAGAATTTCCTTTTTTTTATTGCTTAGATGGCTGGACGAGCTTACAGCCCACCTGGAGTTAAGTGGTTACTGCAGCCCATAGACATCTACAACGTAAATGCGCCACCCACCTTGAGATATAAGTTCTAAGGTCTCAAGTATAGTTACAACGGCTGCCCCACCCTTCAAACAGAAACGCATTACTGCTTCACGGCAGAAATAGGCAGGGTAGTGGTACCCACCCGCGCGGACTCTCAAGAGGTCCTACCACCAGTAATTACGCAAATTCTAATTTTGCGGTTTTCATTTTTATTACATGATGTTATTCCTTCACCGTGGAAATCAATCGTGAACATTTGTTGAGTACGTATTTCATTAGAAAAATTGGTACCCGCGTGCGGGATTCGAACACCGGTGCATCGCTTAACACGAATGCATCGGACGTCTTATCCGTTAGGCCACGGCGACTTCCTTGATTTGATATTATCATTGACACTTTCCTTCCAAAGGAATGTTTTGAATTCGATTGTATACCACACAAGCATACAGCATGAATTACTACTTTTTAAAATATGATAAAATCGATCTTATTTATAAATGGAAATTATTTTTTGTTTGTTTGTGCTGCGGCGACGGATCGACGGGGAAAGGGGATAAACACTCCCTCTCCATCTCTTCAAAGCTTCTTCCTCCGAAGCTTCATTATTCATAAAAACCACCTTCTTTTTATTAAAAAAAAAGGTTCGTTTATTCGAAAAATGGTGTCAAAATAATTGATTTTAAAAAGAGGTTGACCTTAATGAAAAGTTTACATTTTAATCCCTTATGAATCAACAGTGTTCGACGCTTATTGCATTGCAAATATATGTACAATGGACTTCTCTTTTGCTTCTGAAATTCCCTCACTGGTGAAGTCGTCAAAAACGAACCTAAATAGACTTATAGAACAACTTACTGTTGGGCGGAAATACTCTTTTCTCCAACTTCTCAAGTTCCCGTTTTCTCTCGCCGAATCTTTGAGAGAAGTAGGCTCTTTCCGTAGCTCGTGCGTGTTCTGCGTCGTGAGCACGTGCAGCCTCCGCGGCCGTAGCCGCTGTGGCGCGGATACGCATCTCCGCGGCCTCTTCCCGTACATACTGCGTAAATACTTTTGTGTATAAATACAACAAATATTGCACCAGAACGTTTTTGAAATTATTAATACATTACTACATTACATTAGGACAAATAAATCTATCCTGGATCAGCTTCGCATCCGAGTCAGGCTCTCCACAATCTGGTACCAGAGGATCCTTAGCTATTTCGGCTATATTGCTCGCTGACAGTCAGATAACTTGGACAAAGTGATTGTGACGGGCAAAGTAGAAGGAAAGAGACCCCGTGGCCGATTAGCCGACCTAACCGACCTAGCCGTTGGTGTAACTGGGCTGCCAGTCGCAGCCGCCATTCGAGATGCTGAAGACTCGACGAGATGGAAACAGCTCACGAGACATGCCACGGTCAAGTTTTAGGGACACGACCTTCAGCAATGAAGAAAGCGAAGAAGAAGAAGAATAAGACTACTGGGTTACTAATATCGGAGTTTCAATTGACAACCAAATTGGAATACAGTAAGTGTAGTCTGCCCTTTTGTCTGGTGTTGTACACGTTGTGTTGCAAGCCACATTCCCAACCCAAATGGTCAGGTAACCGCACAGTGACAGTCGCATCCGTAACAACCGCATGCCAGTTCGGATCCTCCCAATAGACTCTCAGTATACTCCGAGCACCGTTCTCGAAGAACTTGTTGAATGCGACGAAGAGTTCGACGGGCAACTTAGCCCACAGACACAACCCGTTGAGTTTTTCGCCGGATCTTTTCCGTGGGTCGCGATTCTGTTTCGGCGCTAGGTTCAATGGAGTATTGCCTAGGACAGATGTTGTCAAATGTTTTCAAGCTCGTGAGCTCCAGTACCAGTCATAGTGAAGCTTGAATAGGAGACTTTGACTTGAATAGGAGTTTTACTGGTGGTAGGACCTCTTGTGAGTCCGTGCGGGTAGGTACCACCGCCCTGCCTATTTCTGCCATGAAGCAGTAACGCGTTTCGGTTTGAAGGGTGGGGCAGCCGTTGTAACTATACTGAGATCTTAGAACTTATATCTCAAGGTGAGTGGCGCATTTACGTTGTAGATGTCCATGGGCTCCAGTAACCACGTAACACCAGGTGGGCTGTGAGCTCGTCCACGCATCTAAGCAATAAAAAAAAAAGATTATTCGTGGCTACTGGCAGGTAGGTAAAAAAAAGTAGTTACACCTACCACTATTGGTATTTTGTAGGAGTTCATTTCAAAAACCTATTGCATCTGACATTTGTGCCCCCCCCCCTCTTTCTCTCTCTCCGCATTCGAAATAAATTTATCTCCAAAAGAAAAGAAAAAAAAATTGTAATTTTAAAACATAGATATATAGAATAATTCATTTAGTTTAATTCGATTACCTCAAGTTTTTTAATCTCTTCTCGTTGTTTCTTCAATAGATCTTCAATCCGTGACAAGGAACTTTCGAATTTTACTGAGTCGTCTATGAGGGCTTGTCTGAAAAAATCGAAAGAATCTATTCTATATTCGTTGTTATCTAGCCTCGTAAACATGAGTATTTAATATTAGTCGTCTAAACTTTAGTATTTAATAATAATAAATAACGGTGTACAAATCAGGTATGGTCATCCGACCCCAACCTGATATACCTATGACCTTTGTTCCTTATCAATACTGCTCGGAATCCATGGAGATGGACCTTTGTTAACGATGGAGATGTTCTATTTGAAGACCTTTTTAAAGGAATTCAACATTTCAAATTAGACACGACCTTCAGCAATGAAGAGACCGACTTAGAAGAAAAATTTGAAGAAACATGCTTTTTCAAATAATATCCATTTTATCGCTAGGGAGCTCACATGCTGGAACTTTACATTAAGAATTGCAATTAACCTATTAGCTATTATTATTAGTTAATTATTATTAATTAATTATTATTAGTACTAAAATTGCTATTATCTTCAGAGTATGATTTGCGTTTTGCTATTTGCATTAAATATGCAGCTTACTCCGCAATTCGGGAAAAGATTGAATAGATTCCTACCATTCCTTTGCACAAATCTTTATGTGTATAATTTTTTTCTTTGTAACATTTGTGTACCTGATAGAAAAGTACTTTTTCTTGACCAGTTCCGCTTCTGTCCATTGTATTAACACTTTATGAATTTCGTTCTCTAAATGCGAAACGAGCTGTAAAGCGAAAAGCTAAGTTTAAAGATCAAGTCATATGGAGTGATGTAGTTATGTTGAGTTTGATTTTTATCCTGATTTTAATCTTGATCGGGATATTAATCTACAGTAATTTCAGTATTGCAAGTGTGTCCAAATATCAAAGGTAAGCGATCGCCTTGAAGATGGTGAAAATTACTTTGAAAATTTCCGTTACACGAATAGAGATATAGGTCAATCTTATGATAGAAGATTATAAATCTGCTAATTAATAAATATTGTGATTATTGGTGGTAAGACGTCATGTGAATTTGCATGGTGCAACGTGCAGCCAATTCTTTCGTGAAATGATTTTGCGATTCGATTCGGTCTGTGGGTAGTTGAAGGAGGAATTTTCCTATTCCTTCAATAATAATATCCTTACGGATTCCTATAGCAGGCATGCAGCAAAAGCGGTGAGACATGGTCATCCATTGACATCGGCAATGTCATGACCACAGCCAAATCTTTATCTCTAAGGGCTCTCTTAAAACCTTGTTTGAAAATTAGGGATGCGATCAGGAAATTGGAGCAAAGATCACAAGGAGTCGACAGGCATAACATTACATTAATAACAAGCTGCCCATGTTTTATTTTTATAAGATTTATTTACCTTTCTGGCGCGACTAGAAATTTTCGATTTGACAAGTTCACCTTTGCTGTTCTCAATCAAGAGGCTTTCGTATTCTTTCTCCAGTTCCGTGAGTCTCCTCTTTTTACTGCGTCTCTCGTATTTCAGTAAATCCAAAATTTTACGCTGTTCAATGACTTTTAGATCTAAATTATGGGCTATCTGTGAATAAGCGATAGTTATTTTTTGTATATAGTAGAAATGATTGATGAATCTAAAACATCGAATACATTGAGCAATTATTTTCTACTTTGCAGATTTAGCAAACAATTTCAGCACAACGATCTCTTGTTTTCAAGTATGAATATATTAAAGTTGATTTAAGTAGAATACAGTGCAATCTATGTACAGTAGGTACGAGATAAACGGAACCCTATTTTAGTGCTTGCAGGAAATTATTTAGCGATAGGCGGCGGTTTGACACTGCCATTGGCATTGCTGACGTCTATTAGGGACGGTAACCGTACACCATTAGGTGGGCCTATAAGACCCACCCTGCCTACAAGGACAATAAAAAAACCTGACTTTTTTTTTTGGACGGGGGTCAAACCTCTTACGAGGACAAGGCGCGCGAGGTAAATGGGACTGGAGGGTCTATAGAATAATTAAAAAAAAATGATTGCGCAGAATATTACAACTTTCCGTGATTCTCATTTTGAGTACCGGTAGAAGAGTTATAGGTACAACCGTTGTATATATTTCTGTCACGGAGAAGCATACCTGACTATTGAAGCGAATATCTATTATTACACTGAATCTAAGATTTAAACCTAGTGTCTTTGGAGCTGTATTTGCGTTGTGAGCTATGGCTATAGATGCTATCAACATAAACGTTCTTGAAAATCTTACCTGATCCGCTGTTTTGTCTCCAATAGGACAGATGTCATTCAAGTACTTCTTGACATGTACTTCGTCTTCTCCTATAGCTGATCTAGCTTGTATCAGTTCGGCGACACGTGACTTTATCTCCCTCTTCAGCGCCTCTATTAGATCATTGTTCTGCTGTTTCTCGGCTTCGTTTTCTTCGTAATTAGATTTCCTTTGGCCCTCTGTCAATTCGATTTTAACCCTTTCTTATTTTTCCTAATACTTGATACCGAATTCTTAATTCAATTATGATTATAAATAAAAATAAACTATAATAAAATCTGGGAACAAATCACGCACTGTCATCCGACCCCAAATTAGGAATCTCTGTATATACATATGTATATAGATAATAAGCACCCAGATAAAGAGCAAACAAATCTGTTGATCACAAGAATGTTTGCCCGATGTGGGAATCGAACCTACGACCTTGGGCGCCACAGTGAGGGGTGCTAACTAATGCACCACTGAGTCGGTCACCAAAGTTATAAGGCGGCGTTTGGGCGGCATTTATGGTAGATTGCTCATGGACTCTATGACCATTTAACATCCCACGTCTGTACATCGTAGCAAATAAGTTAAAAAAAAACGTCTTATGTCTCATAACAATGAAAATATATTTTTTTAAATCCTACCTAAGCCGATTGTCTTTAGAGACTATTTTAGCGTAACCTCAACTAGAAGGTGAGCTCGCGGAACACAAACCTAACGACGTTGTTAGCACGATCCCTAGCAAGAGCCGTGCTTTGCAGAATCTACCACCGGATCGGAAACGCGACCCACTGAGAAAATTCGGCGAGAAACTCAGTGGGCTGTGTGTGTGGGTTAATTTACTCGCCGGGCCCTTCGTCGCAAGCGACGGGTTCGACGAGAAAGACGATCGGTGCTTGAGGTACCTAAAAGCACCTTTAGTGGATCGGGAGGATCCGAAATAACGTGTTTTGGGCGACGTCGACTGCTTACCATTCGGCACGCGGGATCAGGAACGGCAGTTGTGAAGTTAACTTTAGTATTTTTTGTTTTATATATATTTTTTTATTTTATTTGACCACACATTCAATACCCATGATAATTAATTATAAATATGTCTAATTATCTACAGCGGCGGCTTGCGGTCGATGCTTCCGTCGATTGTCTACTGTCAACATGCTGTTATCAGTGGCCCAGTGTGTTTGAACGAATGCGTTGATAGACTTGTGTGGTCAGTGTGTTTAATGCGAGTTTTTAACGTTCTCGACAGCGTAAAAGTTAACTCGAATTTGTATGGACAGCGCCCCTAGCGGCAAACGTAGGCAAACGTTCCAACTACATATAAATTTTAGTTAACTTTTACGCTATCGAGAACTTAAATAATTGTAAATAGACATGCTTTAACAAAAACCGACTTCAAATAGAAAAAAAAAGATATTCCAAAACAAATTAATATACCTACACTAAAAACAATAATCTTCGAAATCGATTGGCGTGATATTGAGTTATTGAGTTATTCATCTATTTGTCGCGCACGTACTTAATGCAAATTTAAGACTTAAATGGTTTTCTCATGGATACCATTATCAGAACTGGACTAAAATGAAATGGGACCACACGGGAAGCGTCAGCTTTTTAATAAAAAAAGAATAATCAAAATCGATTCACCCAGTCAAAAGTTATGAGGTAACAAACATAAAAAAAATACAGTCGAATTGAGAACATCCTCCTGTCTTGAAGTCGGTTAAAAACTCGCACTAAGCACAATGATTCCAGTGGGCGTGCTATGAGCGGCTTACATCAGTATCTTGTTTATGAGGTTTTTTTTTTTTTTTTGTTATTTCTCCCTAACTATTCGTTGGTAGCCTATGAGGCTATTCCAGCTACGCGCAGACGGGTATGTGAGCTCACGGGCTCAACCTGAGAGAATTTGCTAACACTATCCCTAGCAAGAGCAGTGCTTCACAGAATCTACCACCGGATCGGAATCGCGACCCACTGAGAAGATCCGGCGAGAAACAGATAGGATTTTTTGTGTTTTATGAGAGTACCGCTTAAAATATTCTTTATAGATTTTAAGATGATCATCCTTAGCTTTTACCTGATGATACTATTTCTGCTGAAAATCCATTCTGTCTTCCAGTTGGAACAGTGGGTTTAATTGACAGTTTTTATATGAGTAAGATGTCAAAATTTAGACAGACGGCGATAAGAAAAAAAGGTGATGTCTGTGGACTCTGGTAATAACTCATCATCAGTTTGATTTGAATAAACTATTCAACGGTTTAGGGCACTAAATAGAAATACTCGAGATCGGTTGATCTTCAACTTATAACATTTTATACGCCAATCTATACTATTAATATAAAGAGAAAAGATTTGTTTGTTTGTTAGTATTGAATAGGCTCCGAAACTATTGAACCGATTTGAAAAATTCTTTAACTGTTTGGAAGCTACACTATCTCCGTGTGATATAGGCTATATTCTTTTTTTTTTAAATTAGGGATCCTTACTAAAACTGTAATAATATTACGAAAATTAATAATATAAAAATAATAATAAAATAGATAAAAACAAATATTACTTACCTAAATGAAAATAAAAATTCATTAAAATAAAAATAATTGTTCAAACTACCTTTATATAATATTTTTGTATTTTTAGTACCCTGACGCAAATATAAGGGTTAGTTAATGTGTGTGTATTATAATTTTTTATTTTGAAATTTATATTAATGACCCTAACGAAGTCGGAGCGGGCCGCTAGTAAATGTATAAAACGGGTTTCGTAGTCTGAAATTATTTGCTTAAAACTAAACAAAACTTTGAGAAACTGTAATCAACATGTAAGCGAAAACATTTCATTAATAAAACAAATCAAATCAAATCAAAAAAAAAACCCACCATATTTCGTTCATAAATCTGCTTTTTTTGCTGTAGATAAGCGGACGTGTTTGTGTCCCTTTTAGTCTCGCCTCTTAACATAATTACCGCCCACGTAAAGCCTTAAGATTGATATCTCGATGCTTTGATTCAGAGGGACACATTATCACATATTATGCCTAATGAGCTATACAATAATATCTCTTTACGAACTATCATTCTTTCACGTATACAATGCAACACATACGTAACAACATTTTTTCAAAAATCTATTATACTATATTGAGACGATTTGAGTAATAATCGCTTTATAGGCTGAGTCCTCCGTTGAACATTGTTATTTGGTTTTCGGGATATAACCGGAAGTACTTGCTCGTGTTTTGAAATCCGTAACACACTCATGAAATCCGTAACACAGAAGAAAATGTTGGCTTTGTTTATTTATTTAATTATTTTTTAAACGAAGAGAAGATTAAAAATATAACAATAAAATTTATTGCATTGCTGACGTCCATGAGCGACGGTGACCACTTACCATCAGGTGGGTCGTATGCTCGTCTGCCTACAAAGGTAATAAAAAAAATCGTTTCACGATTTTATTTCTTCTCGGAGAAAGTCACGTGTGAACAAATATGTATTTGATACTAACATCAAATCAGAATATTCTAGTGTCTCAAAAGTGCCAAGACCTCGGATACCAAATATCTTTCACAATTATCACACTAAATTCAACTCAGTCTCTATTTGCAGACCGGATCAATCACTTTAAAACCGAAGCTGTCAAAATGCTTCAAATAAAGTTGGGAGTCTCAATGAATTAGTAATTCTAATTCAATATATTATCTACTGTCTAATGTCTTGTCATGGTCTCAAGGATAAGACGCCCGGTGCATTCGTATCAAGCGATGTTCAAATGGTGGTAACTGCTAACTTTTCCAATGAAATACGTACTTAACAAATGTTCACGATTAACTTCCACCGTGAAGGAATAACATTGTATAATAAAAATCAAACCTGCAAAAGTATAATTTGCGTAATTACTGGTGGCAGGACGTCTTGTGAGTCGGCACGGGTAGGTACCACCACTCTGCCCATTTCTGCCGAGAAGCAGTAACGCGTTTTGGTTTGAAGGGTGGGGAAGCCGTTGTACTGTTAAACTGAGACCTCAGAACTTTGGTGGGTCTATGGGCTTCGCGGTAACCACTTAAAACCATGGGCCGTGAGCTAGCCTACCCATTTAAGCAATAAAAAAAAACAACCTTTCAATTTAAGACGGTAAGATGAAAATATGTAAAATATCAAGCACCAACCTGACAGCTGTATTTTCTTTTTGATTTCGTATATTTTCGTGTTTATAGATGTGAGACGGTCCTCAGTTTCGATCTCAAATGGATGTTTTTCATAACACGTCCCCATTGTATCGAATTATATATTTAATATCGTATTTACAAAACATTCGAATCGAAATCGTACTTGACAACGGAAGTATTGATTAAACTGTACGTACTCGTGTTGTGTGCGGTCAGGGTGTAAGTTAAAATCATATTTTAGGTTAACAAATTGAAATGTTTTTGCAAGGCCGCGAAAACTTGACTTCTAGTTTGGAGAGTAGGTCAGTTGCTGTGCAATGCTGTTGAGACTTCGAACCATGTCTCGTGTTACTTTGTCTATGGGCTGAATGAAGCACTCAGTAACATGAGGGCCGAAAGAACATCTGCTTATCTAGAGTAGAAAAAAGTTGAACACGACTGTATCAATTTAAAGCTTTAAATTAAATTGATAACAACGCCATCTCTAGTGTGGTTGTATTAAAACTAAGTTCAAAAGCTCGACGTCGCCTGCGCGCAAATGGCGCTGCGGTGCCGCTTGATTTCTCCATTGAATCAACATTCCTTCGCGTATCTACCTATGTGTGCGTAATTTTGTTCTCACGGTTTATTCTCGACAAACAAAATTATTCATGACTTAACTTTACTACAACTAGGACTGATATTACTAAAACTACTACTTTAGTTGATTTTAAAGGTTTATTATTGGAAGTTTAGTGCCAAAACAAGGACCCTAGACGCACACAGACGCACTGGCGGCCATTTTGATTTACCGTACGTTGTGACATGTATTTACAGACAAAGCCGTCAGATGCGAGCGGGACGCGGCTGCGCATGTTCCTACCGGGCTTTACGTTAATTTTGAACGTGTTTACCGCTAAAATGTTCATTAAGCGAATGTTTTCGACGTAACAACAGTTCAAAAACAAAATGAAGTGTCAGTTCTTACATTTAGTTCCGTGAGTGTTGATTTTATTGTGATAAACAACATAGAAGGAGTTGAAACAAATGTGTGTGATCCATGTGTGAATGTTGTGCTACAAAATGTGGTCGAGGAACTTTGTACCGGATTATGGGATTCAATTATTGTCATTCGTCTTTTTGGTGACGTCGGCGGCGTCCAGGATCGAGGGCGTCGAAGGTGAGTTCTAAATGTTATAGATTTTTAATGTTGGCGAGCTTATGAAAGCGCGGTCCTCAGGTAACGCGGCCGGCGCGAGGTGGTATAACAGCGAGGGGAGCTTACGGTTAGACCACTGTCGCTCTCAACCGGTCGGGTAACCTCCGTTCTCACACTGCGGACTTGTGAAACGACTCGTTTTGAAAAAAACTGGAGTGAATTCAACGCATCGTATATTTAATGCATTTAATTGTACCGCGTTTGTAAACGTTCAATTCAAACTGAAGTATTGAGGTCTCCATACTCCATTGTGAAATCCAAACTGGCCGTGTTCTCTGTCGTTACTTCTCGGAACCCGTAGCTTACATTTTGATCGCTGTAATTTAATAATGGCTATTGTCTAGCCTGTGTTCCCTGTAAATTGTTCTTTTTAGCTTGCTCATACTGTAAATGTATAACTATAACTATAATACTTATTTAATACAATATTAAAGTTGGTATAGATTCGATTCGAGGTATTAAGCTTTCATTTTATTAAGTTCGACAACTTCCAGAGCTTATCTAGATATCATATTCTAACTTATTTGTTTTCAGATTTTTTTAAACGTGATTCTAATTTGCAACTGTGGAAGATGCAAACCGCTACGGAATAGTAGAATCATAGAATAATTTCGAGTGAAACTAGTAATCAAAACAAATTAAAATTTGTAAATTAACGAAATAAATTCCTTGTAAACATTTAAATAAATAATTCCTAACTAAATCTAAAATCCTTTTCTACCCTAAAACACGATTTCGCGTTTTATTTTAATGTTGGTAACTATGCGAAACTGTTTATAGTTAAAATCGATTCAAAATTTATCGAATTTCCGAAATCCTATAAAACTTTCATTATTGCGTAAATTCAAACGTAATCCTAGAACGTTATACATTACAGAACATTAAAGCATCCTAGATATGGACAAGATAAGAAAGAACAGTTTAATTCTATACATAGCCCGGAGCGTGTTCTGGCGAACCTAGCACAGAGAATACAAATGCCTCAAGTATATGTTTAGTATTCGAGGCAAATGCCCACGATTTCTGTGGTCGGGACCACGATGGGACTTTTGAATATTGATCAATTTACAGTGTTATATTCAGCTCAGAGAAATGGACAAGGTGTCTGTCGAGTTTTGTAGGGAAAGTTTGGTAGCACCGCACAATATTAATGTTCATTTAGCGTTTATTTGTATGCTAGAACAGTTTTGTATTCGTAATCCTCTATCAACGCATTAAGTTAAACAATAATTTGTTATTTTAATAGCGTCTCAAAAAGAAGGATCGTCTCAATTACGTGTATGACAATTTAAATGCAAATTTGATGCGAATTTCTCACAATTTACTGGTGGTAGGACCTCTTGTGAGTCCGCGCGGGTGGGTACCACAGCCCTGCCTATTTCTGCCGTGAAGCAGTAATGCGTTTCGGTTTGAAGGGTGGGGCAGCCGTTGTAACTATACTGAGACCTTAGAACTTATATCTCAAGGTGGGTGGCGCATTTACGTTGTGGATGTCTATGGGTTCCAGTAACCACTTAACACCAGGTGGGCTGTGAGCTCGTCCACCCATCTAAGTAATAAAAAAAATAAAAAACGCTTCTTATCTTACGCCGAGAATCCCTAGCGGATCGTGTACTTCATTAGGTGCTTTACGAATTAAATGACCGACAAAATAAAGCATCAGACAACATTAAAACGTATTTCTATGAAGCGTTCACTAACAAAGAGTATACTTGATACATTAATGAGAAAGTATATCATAATGTTGTACAAACATAGACGCGCCGAAGCGATCGTATTCTGTAAACAAAACCCAATTAATGATCAATTGTGGGCCGCTGGACGAATGACCGTAGCGGGGTTCATCGTACAATTGTCACGCATAAATCTCAACTTAAATGCACTCAATATGAACAATTTAACACTTAATCTCCTGTATTTCGTTTGATCGCTTCTATTTTCAACTTTATAATAACGGGCGGAGGGGTAAATTTGCATAACATGTCAGCTAAGACATCTCGACGCTGTTTCCACTCAATCGAGCGTTCGCGACAAGAAATTGTTCTCAGAAACGCCTTTACTTATTTGTAACGTTCGCTGTCTGAGAACACTGAATATTTGAGTAGTCGGAGCGGTTCTCAAGAAGCAACTCTCTGCCTTTTAATACTGCAGACAGTGCTATTGTAATGTGTAATGACTAATCAGTTTTGGAATCTGCTGTTCCAATGCCCAGTTCGTATTTACTCAAAGAATATCATTTGGTACCTAAAGTCTTACATCAATTTCAAATCTGTAGGTTATGTCGTCGCGATCAGAGTATCTGTGTTAATCTTAATTGCGTTCACGTAATTCTGATTTTTATTGAATCCAGTTCCCCTATATGGTTAAATACTTCAGAGCACACATACTATTCAATTATGGGCCGTTTTCTGCGCCATTTACCATTTTAGGTATAATACGATAATTTCGTTCTAGAATTAAAATGCTTCGAAAAGGTAAATCATTTCAATGTTGGTAAAATTGTAAAGATCAAAATTAATAAAACAGTAGAAACTCGTTAGTCTGTATATTAGAAATTAATAAGGGATCATAGTATAATTGTAGTAAAAAATTTGGGATTTTTAGAATTACTTTCTGTCTTTATCTAGTTGTTTGTTCGCGCAAATATTTTGTTTTCACAGTTAGATATTTTACATTTGCCGTCTGTTCATTTGTCTTTACATGAGTCGACTATTATCAAAGCCGGCAATGTGACTTTTGGACAATTATTGGTAAATCAGAAAAACGAATTATTGACTTTATATTCCATTGGCAGTTACAAAACTCTTCTGAACGACATCTTAGATAACAGGTTAAGTATTAACCTTTATTTAATGCAGGTTTTGAGCCGTATTCTTTGAAGGAGACGATTATATTCAAATCAATCTGTATTGACATATCAATAACATGTTTTTGTCCAAATGCACAGATTGCCACCTTTGATAATAGACGACTCACATACCAATAAATATACAGAAACTTTTTTCGTATGCCGATGTGTCATGCTAAATTTTCACATAGTCATTAACCCTGTGTGTAAGCTCAAGTTTACGGAGATAACCAGCGTCAGTGACTCGGTATGTTCATGTTTTACAACTTAATTATTGGCTTCTAAGCCCGACGCATGAATCCAAGCAATCAAATCAGCATAAATATAATTGTTCGCATCGTAAAACTTTGTATTTGTTTATTATTTTACAAAATCGAAGGGTGATGTTCTACGTCTGAATGTGCGATTGTAAGATCTATTTTTTTTATTATATTGCTGCGACAATTACTAATTTTTTTTTGATGGGAGATGAACGTGTGGAGCGTAATGCGAAGACGTAATGGTGTATACAGCTCTCCTGCCTTTTCGGTTGAAGCATTTATTTGTTCTGGTTAAAGATTACAGATAGTGGTTAATAATGCAGTAGATTAGTGGTGTTTTTAAGATCTAGGACCAGTTTATCACTAGCCGGGCTGTGTGTTTCGTCTGTCTAATGCGCTAGTGCCTCTCATTCTTTCATTTGCCTTTTCATGAGTTCTGTCTCATGTGATGTTTGGACGTTGGTTGTTGAGCGACAGGAGGTTTTAGTCGGTTCGACTCCGACATGCTCCGTCCGCCGTCTCCAGTGGAGGGCGGAAGTCCGGCGATTTCCTCCTGACCAGAAAAAAAAGTGCCTCTCATTCAACAATTTGAAGTTTTTTTAATGTAATTTATTTAATAATTGTACTCGTGATTTTAATTGTATTTGCAAAGCAGCGACAAATCTCCGGGCGTTTAACGGTTGGGTATAAATAAGCTCGGACGCATATTATTAATGCACATCCGGCAATTTTCCGGTTTACGTGCACGTTTTGTACTGAACCGCACATACTACCGGAAACTTAAGTGACCGTTCGCTCTCTTCTAGCATTCGCGTTAGAGCGTGATAGAGAAACGTTTTCGGTTTGCCAGTGACGAAGATTTTGACGGAGCAGCATTTGAAATAAGAATCAAGCCCGCCGCTTACTTAAGCCTTGATCGTCGCAATCTTATCACGACTTAAATTATTAAGGGTGCATATGGTCCCATACCTATATGAGACCGTCAGCGTAAAATTGTGGGTTAAGCCACTTTTGCGCTCGCGGCTTCAATTATATTATAGTCCATATGGTCCCAGTCGCTATCCAACTGATGATATGCTCTCCTCAATACAGACCTTTGCCTTACAACCAAAGATTCATACGATTAATATACATTATAAGTAACGGCTGAAGGATGTATACTGGTACACATAGTTCTCCGTCACATCATTCGAGAATGTCAAGACATGCGGGAGCATTATGTTAAGTAATTGTTTCGAGGTTTTTTACGTCGCCTCAAGTCTGGGGAGTTTTTACAGCATTACCACAATATTGTATGAGAAATGTTAGTTTCTCATGCGAAAGTTTTTCTATTGTTCTGGGTTTTTTTTTTAATTGGCAATATTGTGTTCATCGATCGAATGGTAATTGTAATTATTTTAATGTGTGTATTGAATATGTATGTTGGCACATCGCAATTTCCACATATTCGCATTCTATCCGAATAAGTGAAACATTAGAACGCTATATTATCAATTTTGTTTAAATTCAAAATATTTTTGTCGGATGTTCCACCCTTCCAACGGAAAGGGATGACTACTTCGCGGCAGAAGTAATTGATGGTTGCCTCTGCCCGAGGGCACCAACGATACGTCCTACCGAAAGTGATTACGTAAATATAATTAATGTAAGTCATTCGTGAATACGTGTTAAATACGTATCAACTTAGAAAAAGTTTCTACGACGCTTTTGATTTTTTTCATATGATTTAAGTATCTTCTTACTAAGGTACCGGAATATCTAGTAGACTCCGGGAAAGACGAATCCGAAGATACTAAGAATGAATCTATTCCTAAAAGACCTAAAAACTAAAACATATATTAACAAACAAAAGA